GAAATTTACAAAGTTCTCCTGAAGGCATTTTTGAGACACTCATTGCAGCATTATTGTAGCAATGGGAAAGGAGAGACCATCTAAATGTGCATTAAAAAAGGAGAAAGGCAAACTATAACGTATTTTGTAATCTATATATTTGCAACAGTGGTCAAAAAGAAAGATATGGCTCTATATGCAGCGACATGCGAAAACTCTCCCAAAATATTGTTGACTGAAGAATAAGTTGAAAACAAAGTACAAGGTAGGAAAAATTTTATGTTAAAACAAAACACAGTCGGGGTGCCTGGGTGGCTCAGGTGGTTAAGCGCCCAACTTCAGCTCAGGTCATGATCTCACTGCTCTTGGGTTCGAGCCCCATGTCAGGCTCTGCCCTGACAGCTTTCATTTCCACCCTCACTTACCAACAATCCTTCCCTTGACTCCTAGCATGGTATCAAAGAAGTCTGCCAAAACAAGAGATTTTAGTAATCCAGTTTCAAAACATACCATAAATATCAAAGATACCATTTTAAAAATCACTGCTATCCCAAGAACCAAGAACACCTCAACTTGAGATGACACAAAGGTTAGAATTATCTGACAAATATTTTAAACCAACCACCATTTAAAAAATGATCTAATGAGCAATTACAAACTTTTCTGAAGTAAATGAAAAACTAGAAAATCTTAGCAAAGAAACAGAGAACTTTGATGAAGAAACATGATATACGCCTAACATCTGTCAGAATGGCTAAAATTAACAACTCAGGAAACAGCGGATGTTGGTGAGGATGCAGAGAACAGGGAACCCTTTTGCACTGTTGGTGGGAATGCAAAGTGGTGCAGCCACTCTGGAAAATGGTATGGAGGTTCCTCAAAAGATTAAATAAAGAACTGCCCTACTACCCAGCAATTACACTACTAGGTGTTTATCCAAAGGATACAGGAGTGATGATTTGAAAGGGCACATGCACCCCAATGTTTATAGCAGCACTATCAACAATAGCCAAAGTATGGAAAGAGCCCAAATGTCCATCTACTGATGAATGGATAAAGAAGATGTGGTGTGTGTATATATATATATATATATATATATGTGTGTGTGTGTGTGTGTGTGTGTGTGTATGTATGTATATGTATATATATATATGTATGTATGTATGTATATACATACAACGAAATACTACAGAGAACAAACTAGGGGTTGCTGGAGAGGTGTTGCATGGGGGGATGGGTTAAATGTGTGATGGACATTAAGGAGGGCACTTGTTGGGATGAGCACTGAGTGTTATATGTAAGAGATGAATCACTGGGTTCTACTCCTTAAACCAAGACTAAACTGTATGCTAACTAACTTGAATTTAAATTTTTAAAAAAATGAAATGACAGCACTATCAATCAAATAGAAAAAAAGAAACAAATGTTATTAAGGCAACAATTCAGAGGGCCATGTGGAATAGTGTGGTGGGGGGAAGGCTCTGTAGTTAAGGGGGGGACCATATAGTGGGGCTGAAAATGCCAGATTAGGAACCAGGATCTCTTGTTTCTTCAAATCCCAAACAAGTCCATCTCCTTTTTGATGTGTCCTCTAATTACCTGTACCCCAAATAATGTTGTACCTCTCATTTATCACCTACTATTATTCTCCAGCAGGAGAGGAATTTTTTGATCTTATATACAATATCTTCCCAAACAGACTGTAAGCTTCTTGGAGCTTAAGGACAATGTTTTATTATCCTACATGTTCCCCACAGAACCCTGCACTTACTGAGGGATCATCATATCAGAGAATTATTGATCGATTAAAACTCAAGGTCCATACAAGAGTGATTGCCTTGTCCCATAAGTTTTTATTACTCCCCAGATATGCCTCCAACCACATCTTCCATCGCTGTTCTCCTCTTTGTCTCTCCATCTCCCATCCCACCTCTTCAATACTGAACAAATTTTAGGTCCCAAATTAGTCACATGGTTCCATACATTTGTGTCTTTTTTTTTTTTTTTTTCTGAACTCTCTCTCCTTTGCTATCTAGAATATCCCATTTGCTCTCTGTGAGACCTCTGGCTCTTGTTTTCTTTCCAAATCTGTGCCTTTCACTCTAAAAGGAGTCAGGTCAGGGGCAACTGGGAGGCTCAGTAGGTTGAGCATCCAACTTGATTTCAGCTCAGGTAATGACCTCATGGTCATAGGATAGAGCCCCACATCGGGCTCTGCACTGAGCATAGAGCCTGCTTGGGATTCACTCTCTCTCTCTCTCTGCCTCTCCCCTACTTGCTCATGAGTGCCTATACCCTCTCTTCCTCTCTCTGTCTCTCTCAAAATAAATCAATGAACTTAAAATAAATAAAATAAAATCAATAAAGGCAACAGAAATTTTAAGCCTGAAAAATACAAAAACTGAAATAAAAACTCTACTGGGTGGGCTTACTCGCAGGATAGAGACAACAGAAGGGGGGAAAATTAGCGATTTTTCATATAAGAAGATAGAACAATATAACTTACCCAATCTGAACAAAACAGACAAAACAAACTACAAAAATAATTAGCAGAGTCTCAGGGACCTATGGGACTACAAAAAACAAAAACAAAAACAAAAAAAACCCCAAAAAACTCTAAAATTTCTTTTTTTTTAATTTTTTTATTTTTTTAAAATGTTTTATTTATTTCTAGGAGAGAGAGACAGCGTGAGCAGGGGAGGGTCAGAGAGAGAGGGAGTCACAGACTGAAACAGGCTTCAGGCTCTGAGCTGGTAGTCAGCACACAGACCGACGCGGGGCCCGAACCCATGAACCGCGAGATCATGACCTAAGCGAAAGTCGGACGCTTAACCGACTAAGCCACCCACGTGCCCCAAAGTCTAAAATTTCTGTCATTAAATTCCAGAGAGAGATAGAGAAAATGGAACTGAAAAATTATTCAGAGGGAAAAAGGGCTAAAATTTCTCAAATCTCCAAAAATCAACAACATATAAATTCAAGAAGTTGAGGAAACTCCAAACAAAATCAACTCGAACAAATTAGGAGACAGGATAGATCACAATAAAACTTTTAAAAAAAAATTTTTTTAAATATTTTATTTATTTCTGAGAGAGAGAGAGAGAGAGACATAAAAAACAACGTGAGCAGGGGAGGGTCAGAGAGAGAGGGAGACACAGAATCTGAAACAGGCTTCAGGCTTTGAGCTAGCTGTCAGCACAGAGCCCAACACGGGGCTCGAACCCACCAACCGTGAGATCATGACCTGAGCTGAAGCTGGACGCTTAACTGACGGAGCCACCCAGGCGCCCATGATCAAACTTTTGATAGTCAAAAGCAAAGAAAAACTTCTTGAAAGCAAGGAGAGATAAGGATACCTCATCCGTGCTGAGCATGGAGCCTGCTTGAGATCCTCTCTCTCTCCCTCTTCTCTTCTCCCCCATTCTTTCTCTCTCTCTTTCTAAACTAAAAAAAATTAATATAACTTTTTCAGGAAAATAGGTAAAGGGTACATAGGACCTCTCAGTATTATTTCTGCAGCTTCATGAGAATCTATTATTCATTCCAGAATAAAAACTTAAAAATAAATATAGGAGATTTCTCAAAAAAAATGGGATTATCTTATGATCCTGCAATTCTACTTCTGGATATTTACCCAGAGAAAATGAGAACACTAACTGGAGAAGTTACCTGCACTCCGTGTTAACTGCAGCATTATGTACAATAACCAGGATGTGGAAAGACCCTTGGCTGCGTTCATGGCATGGGTGAATGGATAAAGAAAATGTGGCATCTGTATATATTATGGAATTTATATATAATATATGTATAATATATATGTTTGGAATAATATGAATATTATTCAACCATAAAGAAGGATATATTGGAATATTATTTGGTCATAAAAAAGAATGAAATCTTGCTATTTGTGACAATATGGATGAACTTGAGGGCATTATGCTAAGTGAAGTAAGTCAGTCAGACAAAGACAAATACCATATGATCTCACTTATATGTGGAACCTGAAAGAAAATAATCAAAAACCGAAACAAAGACAAGCTCATAAATAGAGAGAACAGATTGGCAGTTGCCAGAAGCAGGAGGGTAGGGGGTTGAGAAATAAATAGAGTCAAAAGATACCAATTTCCAGTTACCAAATAAAGAAGTCATGCAGATGTAAAGTACAGCATGATGACTACAATTAATAATAACTTACTGCATATTTGAAAGTTACTAACAGAGGAGCACCTGGGTGGCTCAGTCAGTTAAGCATCCAACTTCAGCTCAGGTAGTGATTGAGCCCCGCGTCGGGCTCTGTGCTGACAGCTCGGAGCCTGGAGCCTGCTTCCGATTCTGTGTCTCCCTCTCTCTCTGTCCCCTCCCCTGCTCACGCTCTGTCTTTCTCTCTCAAAAATAAAGATTAAAGATTTTTTTTTTTAAAAAGGAAGGTGCTAACAGAATAGATTTTAAAGTTCTCCTCACTCATGCACACATAAAATTTGCAGCTACATACAGTGATGGATGTCAAGTAGGCTTATTGTGGTGACTATTTCACAATATATATCATTTATTTGATTTAATATCAAATCATTTATGTTGTACATCCCAAAACTAATATACTGTTGTATGGCAATTATACCTCAACAAAATTGTCTTTTAACAGATAATAAATAGGTAATTCTGTGCACTCTGACCTAAGGTCTTCATGGGGTCGAAAGATCAGCAGAGTAATTCTTCATGTTGGGGCGGTCTTTTAATACACAGGATCACGTCTTCCTGTATCACAAAGATTTAAAAACCATCTTAATGGAAGCTTTCAGTACAAATAGCAGTGATGCTATGCAAATATTTAAAAAAAAAAATAGAAGTAGAGTTTCTGGGAAGTTATTCACAGGACAGACTGGGGAAAGAAAGGATCCAGACAAGTGGTTTCCTAAGTCAGCTTCTCCGGGGCCCAAATCAGACTTAAAATAGGAAGTCTTTGTAACACACACAGACCAAGAGAGAGGTTCTGTGTGCCTGGGCTTGCTGGTGTCTGCACCATGAGAGACAGATTTCGATTGCTGCCAGGTGAGTAGAATTATAACGATAATGACGAATAACTAAAGCTATCTTGTATTAAGTCTCAAAGGAGAAAATCAATGAAACTGATTCCCAGGGCCAATCCAACAAAGATTTCTTATTTTACTACCTATATCAGATATCAGTCCAGTACCTCCAAGAAACAGAAACCAATGAGAGACAGACAGAGAGAGAGAGAGAGAGAGAGAGAGAGAGAGAGAGAGAGAGATTCATTCATCTTAAGGAATTAGTTCGTGAGATTGTGGAGGTTAGGAAGCTGAAATTCTGCAGGACAGGCCAGTAGGCTGCAAACCCAGGGGAGACTCGACGTTACATCTCAAGTCTGAAGTCAGTCTGGAGGCAGAATTCACTCTTCCTTGGAAGAGGTCAGACTTTTTTTCTCCTAAGAACTTCATCTGATTGGATGAGGCCCACCCGGATTATGGAAAATAATCTGCTTTACTCAGAGTCTACTGATTTGACTGTTAATCTGATGTAAAAAAAATATCTGCCTAGCAATGTCTAGACTAACCGTTGATCCTATACCTGGGTGTTGTGGCCCAGCCAAATTTGTTACATGAAATTAACCATCATGTTGCCTACACTATTTTTTTCACAAGCGTACGTAGCCAAATTCTCTGAAAACTCTAATGAGCTATATATATCATCATCCTTTAGCCCATAGGCTTTGTGTGGGTCACAAGATGGTTTAAAGGACAATAACGTGGATAATAGCAAGGTCAACTTAGTTCTGACTAGTCTTTCTTTCCCTCAATGCTTAGTGTGATACCTATTACATAGTAAGTTAAGTGTTCCTTACACATTGTCTTCATTGCAGTTTTGTTTCCTGGTTGTTATGAAAATAGCCACATTTCTTATCATCTGATTTGTGGAAGATGATTTTTTTAATAGTTTATTGTCAAGTTGGTTTCCATTAACACCCAGTGCTCATCCCCACAAGTGCCCTCCTCCCTGTCCATCACCCCCCTTCCGCTCCCCCCCACCCCATCTGCCCTCAGTTTGTTCTCGGCATTCAAGAGTCTCTCATGGTTTGCCCATGGAAGATGATTTTAACGCTGGGCACATTTTAGGAAAATCCCGTAAAGACACACGGATGTGAAAAGACTTTCATAGGGTTCATTTTCTCCAATGAATGGAAGGACAGACTCGAACAGGTGGGTCCAGTCTTTGCCTGTAGGGTAGATGCCTTCACACCTGCAGTGGTGTTCATACCACAGAGCCTGGCCAGTGACCCATCTCTCAGGACCAGACTGGGAGATAAAGGGAAAGGCCATGCTCTCAATGCACTGTGGGAGAGCCAGGAGGTCACTTGGAAGGAACCATAGAAATCATGGACGCGGCACCTGGAGAGGTCATTTAACCAGGAGATGGCCGGTGCTCTTAGTTGTCACTCCTTACCTGTCATCAACTACCCCTCTCTTGACCCCAGGGCTCCCTGCCCTGCTGATACCACTGTGAGCTAGAACTCAGACGTGGGGCTGTCTGACCTCCAAACCCAAGCTCTTCTCGTGTGCCCCAAAACATGTATGCAAAAGAGGAGACAGTGATCCTGGAAGAGGAACCCTCAGGGTAGATTTCCGCCATTGCCAGAGAACACAGAACCTGGCCAATCTGAGGACTTTGCGCATCAGGATCAACCCCCTCCACTGGGAAAGATTGGGGCTTCTGCGCTGTATCCCTGACATCAGCTGTCTGCATATATTCTGTCTCCGTACCTGTAGCACTACTGAGGCTTCACGAGGACGGTGGCTGTTAGTGACTGACGCCTCTGGGAGTCAGAGAGACGGAGGGTAAAAACCGAGTACCTCTTGTAAGGTACAAGAGCCTTGCTGGAAAGCTGTGGGCTGCAGGACAGACCCACCTCCCCAGGAGGCAGTGACCATGCCACCAGGAACAGAAACCAGAGCCCCTCACTCCTCTTTTTGTCTTCACACTGTGTTTTCTGCCTCAGGACTCCTGATGCTGTTGCTGCTGTTGACACTGGGAGCTGCCGCCCAGAACACTAGAGGTGAGTCTGCCCAGGTTTAGTGACGAGCTAAGTAGTGCATACTGGGGCCTGGGTCTGCCACTGACAAGGAAGAAAGGAGGTTTATCCTCCAAGTGAGGCTCCAAGATGGCCTTCTGGAGATAAGAGAAGCTATTTCTTCCTCTCTTAATGTCCTGTCTTCTGTCTTTTCCTTTTTCAAAGGCAGCCATCCCTCCACTACCCTCCCCTGCTCTACTCATAGACTCCTAGCTGGCAGCTGGTGGCTTCATCCATTCCTTGAGCCTTCTGGCTGTGGTCCCCATTGCTAGGGCCCCCACGCCTGTGTTCACTGGTGCCCTCTGAACTCTCCATGGGTCGATGCCTCCATCTGTCACTGCTCTCCAGGATTCAGCTCTTCATCTGGGGAGATCTTCACCAGCCCCTTGCAGAATTGTGATGCTATAGGGGCGTGGGGTGGTAGAGGGGCATGGAGATGTGGGGGGAGATGGTGAGGTGTCCCAAACCCTTGGCCCTGAGAGCAGCACCCAGCCCTTCATCAAGGAAAAGAGAGCGGTGACAGGGTAGGGGGAGTATGAGGGGAGTGGACCATCAGGTTTTCATGATTAGTAGGTAGAATGTTGAAAGCTTACACAGTGGAGCTGGGCTACCCGGCTTCAAAGTCCAGCTCACCACTGACTACATCTGACATGTAGGAAATTCTTTCTCTTCTTTATGCCTCAGTTTGCTTGTCGGTAAATTGGGGATCATCACTGTACCCACCCCACATGGATGGAGTGAGATTTAAATTTACCTGTGTGAAGAACAGGTAAAGACTAGTATGGAGCAAATTGTCAACAAATGCCAAGTTTTATCCTCGTTACCGTTGCTATTATCATTTTCAAAGCACAAAGGAAGGGGAGAAAGAGTGGAAGCTCGAGCTCTCTTCCTGGCGTGAGCGCACCAGGAATTCTTGGCCCCTCAAGGTCGTGGTTTCCTGCCTCAGTGCTCACAGCAGACCTATGAAGCAAGCAGAGTACATGGTGGATTTTTTCCCACCTTCACCCATTTTGCCCCTCCCCCACCCTCCAACCTTGACAATCACTAATCTGTTCTCTGTATCTGAGTTCAATTTCTTTTAATTCCCCCAGAAAAGTGAGATCATACAATATTTTTCATTTCCTGTCTATTTCACTTAACATAATGCCCTTAAGGCCCATCCATGCTGTCACAAGTGGCAAGATCTCTCTCTTTTATGGTCAGGTAATATTCTGCTATATACATATACCATGTTTTCATTGATCATTCATCTATCAGTGGACATTTGGGTTGTTTCCCTGCCATGACTGTTGCAAATAATGTTGCACTGAACATGGGGGTGCAGATCTCTCTCTCTCAGAATCTGATATTATTTTCTTCAGATTAGTACCCAGAAGTGGAATTACTGGATCAGATGGTAGTTCTATTTTTATTTTTGTGAGAAATCCACATACTGTTTCCCACAGTGGCTGCACCAATTTACATTCTCTCCAGCAGTGTGCAAGCTTCCCTTTTCCCACATCGTCACCAACATTTGTTATTTCTTGTCTTTTTAATAATAGCCATTCTGACAGCTGTGAGGTGATATCTCACTGTGTTTTTGATTTGCATTCCCCTGATGATTAGTGGTGTTGAGTACATTTTCATGTACCTCTTGGCTATTTGGATGTCTTCTTTGGAAAAAATGTACATTCAGATTCTCTACCCATCTTTAAATGGATTAATAATACTCTTTGGGTTGTTTTTTTGTTTTGTTTTGGGGTGGGTTTTTTTGTTTTTTTTTTTTTGTTTTGTTTTGTTTTTTGCTATTTAAGTTGTATGAGTTCTTTATATATTTTGGGTGCTAATCCTTTATCAGATACTGTCTATGATTTGCATTTCTTTTCTACCAAATTGTAGATTGTCTGCTTCATTTTGTTGATGGTTTCCCTTGCTGTACAGTTTGCTGTGGTCCCACTTCTCTATTTTGCCTTTGTTGCCTTTGCTCTTGATGTCAAGTCCAAAAAATTATTGCCTACGCCAATGTCAAAAAGATTACTCCCTATGTTTTCTTCTACGAATTTTATGATTTCAGGGTAGCATCATTTTTTAAATTATCAAATTTGGGCTCAAAGAGGTCAAGCGACTTATTCAAAGTCATACAACTAATAAACTGGTAAAAGTACATCCAGGTGTAAAACTAAGGAGTTTTTAAGAGTTAATGAGGATGTGGAGAGAAAGGAAATTTTGGGCATTGTTGGTGGGAATGCAGACCGGTGCAGCCACTGTGGAAGACAATGATCCAGCAATTCCACTACTGAGTATTTACCCAAAGAAAATTAAAACACTAATTCAAAAGTATATATATACACCCCTACGTTTACTGCAACATTATTTACAATAGCCAAGATAAGGAAGCAACCCAAGTGCCCATCCATTGATGAATGGGTAAAGAAGATGTGGTATCTATCTGCAATGTTACTACTCACCCACAAAAAAGAATGAGATCTTGCCATTTGCAACAACACAGATGGAACTAGAATGCATTATGCCAAGTGAAATGAGTCAGACTGAGAAAGACAAATACCAAAAGAGTTCACATATATGTGGAATCTAAAATATAAAACAAACAAAACCAGACTCTTTTTTTATTTTTGACAGAAAGAGAGAGAGAGAGAGAGAGAGAGAGAGAGAGAAGGAACGTGTGAGCAGGGGAGAGGCAGAGAGAGGGAGAGGAAGAGAATCCCACACAGGCTCTGTGCTTGTCAGCAAAGAGTTCAACTCGAATTCATGAACTGTAAGATCATGAGCTGAGCTGAAGTTGGATACTTAACTGACTGAGCCACCCAGGTGCCCCCAACACTGGACTCTTAAATACAGAGAGAAAACTGGTGGTTGCCACAAGGGAGGTGACAGGGGGATGGGCAAATATATAAAGGGGATTAGGAGGTACCAACCTCCAGCTATAAAATAAATAAGTCACAGAGATGAAAAGTACAGCATCGGGAATACTGTAGTATGTAATAATATTGTATGGTGACAGACGGTGTCTACGCTTATCATGGTGAGCAATGAGTAATGTCTAGAATCGTTAAATCATTATGTTGTACAGCTGACATTAATATAACACTGTATGTTAATTATACTTCAATGAAAATATATTTTAAAAAAGAAAGAATATGAGATGACTGAGTGGCTCAGTCAGTTAAGCATCTAACTCTTGATTTCAGCTCAGGTCATGGTCTCATGGTCATGGGATGGAGGCCCTCATCAGCCACATTGGGCGTGAAGCCTCTTTAAGATTCTCTCTCTCTCATCCTCTGCCTCTCTCTCCCACTCACATACTCTCATTCTCTCTCTATCTCTATCTCTTAAAAAGGAAGGAAGGAGGGAAATAAGGAGGAAAGAAGGAAAGAAGGAAGGGAGGGAGGGAGGAAAGAAGGAAGGAAGCAAGGAAGGGAGGAAGGAGGGAGGGAAGAGGAAACATTTCTATAGTCTTTTCTTACCTGAGTATAGTTGACACACAGTGTCACATTAGTTTCAGATGTACAACATAGTGACCTGACAAGCGTATACATTATGCTATGTCTACCACAAGTGTGGCTACCATCTGTCCCCACAAATCAATACACTGCTATTACAATAGCATTGACCATGTTCCTTGTGCTATGCCTTTTATTCCCATGACTTATTCAGTCAATACTTGAGAGCCTATATCTCTCTCTCCCCTTCACCCAACCCCCGCCCCACCTCCCTCTGGCAACCGTCTTTTGTCTCTGTATTTATAGATCTCATTCTGCTTTTTGTTTGTTTCATTCATTTGGGGTTAGTTTTTTTTTTTTTTTTTAGAATCTACTTCTGAGTGATATCATATGGTATTTGTCTTTCTCAACCCTGTTCACTTAGCATAATACCCTATCAGTCCATGCATGTTGTCAAAAATGACACAAAAATCATCCTTTTTATGGCTGCGTAATATCCCATTGTGTATATACTACATCTCCCTTATCCATTCATCTGTTGATGGACACTCAGGTTGCTTCCATATCTTGGCTATATAAATAATGCTGCAATAAACCAAAAAAAAAAAAAGTTTTTTAAGCTAAGAAGAACTATGCACAAGTAAGATGGGATTCTTTAGTACTATTTAAATCAGTTATTTTTCTCCATGAAATAATTTTTTAAGTATGCAAAAATAAGCTTTTAAAACCCAAGAATTATGGGATGGCTGGGTGGCTCAGTCGGTTGAGCATCCAACTTTGGCTCAAGTCATGATCTCATGGTTTGTGGGTTCAAGCCCCGTGTTGGGCTCTGTGCTGACACCTAGCTCAGAGCCTGGAGCCTGCTTCGGATTCTGTGTCTCCCTCTCTCTCTGACCCTCCCCTGCTCACGCTGTCTCTGTCTTTCAGAAAAAAAAAAAAACATAAAAACCCAATAATTAAATTACACTACGTATCTGTTTAAGAAATGATACAAAATGAGAATTGTGTCCATTTAAAAATTCTGTTGCAGGCCCTCCTCAGTGGCTCCATCAGTTAAGCATCCAACTCTTGGTTTTGGCTCAGGTCATGATCTCACGGTTCTTGAGTTAGAGCCCTGCTTGAGATTCTCTCTCTTTCTCTCTCTCTGCCCCTCCCTGCTCTCTCTCTCTCTCAAAATAAATGAATTTAATAAATTTAATAAATAAAAATCCTGTTGTATATGAACATATTTACAAGACATTTAAACAAATACAACGTAATTTTAACCTAGAAAAGAGAGAGAGAGAGAGACCAAGAAAGAAAATGAAATTTCAATCTCATAAAAAACATCAACTATTTTTATTAAATCGGAAACACAAAAATTGAGGGGCATTTGGGTGGTTCAGTCAGTTAAGCATGGAACTTTGGCTCAGGTCATGATCTCACAGTTTGTGAGCTCAAGCCCCATGTCTGGCTTTGTGGTGACAGCTCAGAGTCTGGAACTTGCTTTGAATTGTGTGTGTGTGTGTCTCTCTCTCTCTCTCTGCTCCTCTCAGTCTCTCTCTCTCTCTCTCTTTCTCTTCCTATCTCTCAAAAATAAGTAAACATTTAAAAAAATTTTAAAGAAACTTGCAAATTGATTTTACTTTAAGGTGAAAATAAATACAACTTGAATAAAGGAAGTTGGAACTAAAGTTTGCTTTAAAAATTTTTTAATGACACTAAGAGGTTTTTATTAAACAAAATAAGATCATAAAAAGAGATTAAAATACTTAAAAACAGGTAAGACAGAAAAAAATTATGGGTACATTTTACCACAATAAGAAAATAGGGGAAAGAGGGAAATTATACAGTTTTTACACCAAGAAATACTTTTCATGTACTCAAAAGTCTTAGATGCATATATATTGGTAATAAAAGAAAATATTCCTAACGTGTAGTGGACTTACAGGTGATTTTATTGGTTCTTCTTCTTCTTCTTCTTTTTTTTTTTTTTTTGTCCTTCTAAGAGTCCATGTGTCATTTAATATCTGGGGGAAAGTAAATTTTATCACGGGAAAAAAAGGTGGTGTGACTCCTGCCCAGCCCCACTCTCCTGATGCCCCGAGAGGTGTCCCTAATGGCTCCCATATGCGTTTGTACGCGCGTCTCACGGAGACTCGAGGCTGGGCGAACACGGCCAGGAGACCTGCTGCCGGTGTGGCTGGACCTCCACTCTTTTCTGGGAGCACGTTTGGCAGGTTGGGAATTTCTCCTCGTCATGTCTGCCCCTCCCGCACACCGCATTGCCACCCATCCTCCACTGGACTCCACCCCATCCCACAACCCTGAAGACGGATATCCAGCCATTGCCACCCTCTGAGAAGACAGGAGTGAAGTCCACTGCCCAGATGGGGCTGAACACGAATGCATCGGGAGTGTGCATCTTCCCCCATGCTGTCACCTCCTGGTGCTGGGACCCACAGCCTGGGCCTGGGCCCTCAGAAGGGAAGTCCACAAGCTCGGGTAGGAAGCTCTGCTCTGGGGGAGACCAGTTACCTGTCTCTGCTCATCACGCTGTCATGAGCCCTTTCAGGCTCTAAAAGTCTTTGGTGCCCTGATTGGGATGTTCAGGACCAAACATTCTGTCCCTGCATTTTGATTCATCTTATTAGTTGTTGATGTTGTTGACAGCTGATGGTGTCCAGCTCTTGCTCTGTGGGTCCCTGAGCTACTCAGAAGGGACCAGGTTCATGGACATCTTTCCTCTCATGTTTAGAGAACAAGAAGATCTAGGAGGCCAGGAACCCACCTTGCAATAACTCAGCTGTGAGCAGCCTCATGTTACTTCTCCATTTCACATCTATGATGGCCTCTGATTAAAGGGAATTCCTCCACCGACATCCTGGGGCATCTGGGAAAAGCCTGACATTGGGATTTAGGGGAGTGCTTAGAGAATTAGGAGGTGTACTTAGGTCACTGTGAGGAAAGTGAGTAGAAACCACCAATGCTCAGGGACCTGACCATCTGCCTCTGTCCTCAAGTGTGAATGCTGAGTGTCACCCCAGACAGCCCATGACTGGCTCCACCTCTCAGCATTGAGGGGGGCCTTCCATACTGCTGGTGCCCTGACCAGAGCCTACCCCAGGTCTCCAGTGGTACCAACAACACCACAGGAAAGAGTCTGGACCCTGACTCAGTGCCTCTGTTTATCCCACAAGGTCCGCAGAAGGGGATGCAGACCTTCTTCCAGCCCCCATCATGGAACAGTAGCATCTGACTCTAGGAGCCCTCAGGCCCAGCCAGAGAGCAGAGCCGAGCAGTCAGCAGGCTTTCTGGAACAACTGGCTCTGCCCAGTCCAGGTTCGGGAGTGCAGCTCAGGAGCCGCATCTGTCCGGCCTTCATTGTCGGGTCAGGCTGGTGACCAGGCCCTCTGCCTGTGAGAACCTATTCCTCTGAAAGTGACCCTTTATCTTGTTGTATTCCAGACATCAACATGTGTGAACAGCCCCGGAAAGCATCCTGTACCCCGTATGTTGACTGCCAGGCCACAGACGGGAGATACTGCGTGTGTGGCCCGGGGCAGCAGCTTATTCCGGAGATGACGTTCCGGAATGAGAGTGAAAGCATGTGTCAAGGTAAGAAGGACTTCACACGTTCCATCTCCTCACCCATGAGGTTTGAGGTCACCCACCCTACTCTCTTCGGGCATCAGAGAGCTGTTCTGGGCACCTATGCCTGTGTCCTATCCCTCCCCAAAGCCCAAGGCTCAAATCCCTCCACAAGAGTGCCACTTACTCAATTTTGGATCATGTCCCTTGCCTCCTGAGATTTTATTTTCAGATTTTATTTTCAGATTTATTTCACTAGAGGGGTGGCATTTAACATACTTCACAATCTCACAGCATGTTATCTCACAGTGCAATATCCACCCTCTTCTTCTTCATCAATGGCGGCCAAGACGAGATTCCCCCTTCCCCCCTCACTCCCCCAAGATACACACAGGCTCAGCCACACCAGGAGCCCTTTCAGCCCCCCAGCGTCATGATGGACCCAGGAGCCCTGTCCATAAACGTGGGAGGGGGGAGACCCGAGGGTGGGCCTACCTTCCCCGGCCAACAACCCTGTTGGGAGGTGACGCCTCTTATATCACTCTAACCGGCGTCTTGGCCTCCAGGCTCTAATTCCCCATGCAAGGCTCTGCCCTGAACCTCCCCAGTAATTTTAGTTCCCAGGCCACTGGGCAACTCAGATGACTAGGATGTGGAGGATATTGTGAAATGGTGGGAAGACTGATGTGGGCTACTCCACACACACTCTACGATTTAGGTGAATGAAAGAGACTGCCGTCTGGGCTGGATGGAGAGAGGGGATCATTGCCAGAGGTATGACCCTTTTCCAAAGAGGTCAACCCCGGCCCCACGTTGACCCAGGCCACTCAGACAGAAAGTGGAGGCTGAATCCCACTTGGCAGGGCACACAGGTCTGCATCCCTGGTGGGAGATCAAGGGCGGAGAAGACAGAAGCATCTGCCATCCCTTGCCCATCAGCGCCTGGTCTCCTCTCCAGCCACCCAGCCCTCACCCACCACTGGCCCTACTCAGATATGGATTCTCGCCACTTTCTTTTAGTCTGGAGAATTCCTTCATGGGGATCAGAAAAGGCAATTTCACTGCCCCAAGGCTGCCTGACTGGATGTCAGCCCCACTGTCCACCTCAGTCTGGTCCTCACTGTCCTGGTGACCCTGCCTAGACAGTAGTACCTTCATTCTCCTGACCCGTTCTCTCAAGCCTGGGAGGAAGGGCCTCTCTCAAGTGTGGGACTTGTCGATGTCCGTGGAGCTAGGGTCTCAGAGTGAGCGTGGATGGGAGCGCGCTGTCCTGTGACGGTCACCAGGATTCTAAAGTTTATGCAGGCAGTGAGAATTCACCCTGGGGAAGTGGGGACAAAGGCTATTGCCAGATGCCATGACAGGTCCTGGTCAGGAATGTAGCATTTTCCCTGCACTTGGCTCCCTGGAAGGCCTACCCTAGACTTGTCTGTGTCCTCAGGGTGGGACTCAGGTGGCCGTGATGTCCCTGCTGCATCTGGGAGCCACCCAGGAAAGCTGAGAGCACCAGGGCTGACAGAGAGGGCTTGGACCACCTCCATCCACATGTGGGGAACAGAGCATCTGGCCACTCCATTCTCCCATAGGATGCTCCATATGAAATAGAAAAGGCACTCACTCACCAGAGAGGAGAGAGCAGGGCCTTCTCCAGGCAGATTTCTGCCCTTTCCAGAGAACAAAGAACGTGCCTATGGGGAAGGCACACAGATTTGAAGATTTTCTCCTTATAGATTTACTCCCCTCCACTGGGAGAGGTTAGAGTTTCTACGTTGTATCCCTCGCATCAGCTGCCTGCGTATATTCTGCCCCCTCACCTATAGCAGCTGAGGCCCCACGAAGGCTGTGGTTGTCCTTGACTGTCGCCTGGGGGAGTCCAGGAAGACGGAGGGGACAGGCCGAGTCTTGGTTCTGTGTAAGGCAAGAGTGTCACGGATGCTGCTGAAAAGCTGTGGGCTGCAGGCAGAGCCTCCCTCCAGGAGGCAATGACCATGCAGACAGGGGTTGAAACTTGACCTTGACTCTCTTCTCTCTGTCATCTCTCTGCTTTTCTGTCCCAGGGCTCTTGGTGCTGCTGCTGTTGACACTGGGGCCTGTACAGAAACTGAGTGGTGAGTCTGCCCAGCCAGCCCCATTGGTGACATAAGCTGGGGCATGCGTGCTGGGGTCGGGGTTCTCTCATCAATAATAGGGTAGAGAAAGGGAGGTTATGGGGTAGAAGAAGGGAGGTTATTGCACAAATAAGGGTCTAGATGGTCTTCTGGGTATAAAAGAAGCTGCTTCTTCATCCCTGAATGTGCAGAGTTTTCTGAGCTCTTCTGATGGCAGCCATCCTTCTCTTTCCTCCCTTGCTCTACTCCTGGACCCCCAGCTGACAGCTGGCTCCCTCCATTTCTTGAGCCTGCTGACTGTGGTCTTTGTCCCCACAGCTTCTGGCTCCACAGACTGTGCTCCATGGTGCCCTCCAAAGTCCTCATGTATCAATGCCACCGCCTGTCGCTGCTCTCCAGGGTTCACTTCTTTATCTGGGGAGATCTTCACCAACTACTTGGAGAATTGTGATGGTACAGGGGCCTGGGGTGGGGAAACAGGGTGGAGGGTGGGGGCACACAGAGATGGTGCCCTGAGAGCAACACCCAAGCCTTCCTCAAGGAAAAGAGAGAGGTGACAGGGCAGGGGGAGTATGAGGGGAGTGGACCATCAAGTTTTCATGATTAGTAAGTAGTGTTGAGAGCTTACACAGTGGAGCTGGGCTGCCCAGGTTCAAAGTCCAGCTCGCCACTGAATGCATCTGACACGTAGGAAATTATTTCTCTTCTCTATGCTTCAGTTTGCTTGTGTATAAATTGGGGATCATCGTTGTACTTACTCCACATGGAGGGGGTGAGATTTAAAATTTACCTATGGGAAGAACAGGTAAAAACTAGTATGAAGCAGACTGCCAAACACAAGCTCTTATCATGGCTACCGCTGTTATTACTATGATCATTCTCATTGTACAAGGAAAGGGGAAAGAAACAAAGGACCTGGAAGTGCAGGTTCACCTACTGGTGTGAACTCACCAGGGACTCCTGTCCCATCAAGGTCATGGTTTCCCACCTCGCTGTTCACAGCAGGCCCACAAGGAAGCAAATCTAGCACCAGTTTTTCTTCCCACGTACTTGCACCCCTACCAATCCATCCCCACCTCTGGCACCCACTCATCTGTTCTTTGTATGGTTGAGTGATACTCCCCTGTACGCACACACCACCTTTTCACTATCCACTCCTGCATCGATAAAAACTTAGGTTGTTTCCCTACCTTGCCTATTACAAATAAAGCTGCAATGAACACGAGGATGCTGATTTTCAAGTTAGCGTTTTTGTTTCCTTCAAATAAATAACCAGAAGTAGAATTGCTGGATCACAAGGTACTTCCATTTTTAAGTTTTTGAATACTTTTCTCCACAGTGGCTGCAGCAATTTGCATTCCCACCAACAATATGCAAGGTTCCTTTTTTCCCACATCCTCACCAACACTTGTTATTTCTTACCTTTTTATAATAGCTGTTCCAACACGTGTGAGATGATCTCATTATGGTTTGGCTTTGCATTTCTCTGAAGATGAGTGATGTTGGGTACCTTTTCGTGTACATGTTGGCCTTTGGATGTCTTCTTTGGAAAATGTCTATTCAGATCTTCTTCCCATTTTTAAAATTGGATTGTTTAGGTTTTTTTTTCCTACTGTGTTGAATGAGTTCTTTCTATATTTTATTTTATTTTTAAAGATAGTTTATTGTCAAGTTGGTTTCCATTAACACCCAGGGCTCATCCCCACAAGTGCCCTCCTCCATATCCATCACCCCCCTTCCCCTCCCCCCACCCCATCTGCCCTCAGTTTGTTCTTGGCATTCAAGAGTCTCTCATGGTTTGCCTCCCTCCCTCTCGCCCACTATTTTCCCCCTTCTTCTCTCCCATGGATAAAGGACCTGAATGTGAGACAGGAAATCTTTCTATATTTTAGGTGTTAGCCAATTCTCAGACATATGATTTGCAAATATTTTCTACTAAACTATAAGTTGCTTTTTCATTTTTTGATGGTTTCTGATGCTCTGCAGAAGTTTTTTAGTTTGATATGTTCCACTTACTTATCTTCACTTTTTGGAGTCAAATCCAAAAACTCTGTGCCAAGACCAGTTTCAAAGAGCTTATTTCCTATGTTTTTTTCTATAAATTGTATGGCTTCATTTTTTAAATGATAATAATTGGGCTCAAAGATATTGATTTAGCCAAAGTCACAATTAATAAGGATGTGGAACCTAGATCAAGATCTAAAACTAAAGTGTTTTAAAAAATTTAAAAAAAAACCCAAAGAGTTTTTATTCTCCAACAATGCAAAATCATAAAAGAAAATGATATTATTTAAATATGGTTAACATGATAAATTTTATGTTATAGGTATTTTTTCACAATAAAAAATAATGGGGAGAGGGGGAAATGAACAGCTTTCACACCAAGAAATAGTCTTCATCTACTCAGAATCATCTTAGATGCATATTTATTGATCATAAAGGAAAATGTTCCTAATATGTTTGAAAAGCTGAGGGGAAAACTATCCTAAATCTTCCAGTAGTTCATATAGTGGACTTACAGTTGATTTTCTTTGTTCTCATTTTTCACAGTTTCTTTGTTTTCTAAGTACCCATGTGTCATTTAGTGCTTGAGGAAAAGATTTTATCAGAGGAAAAAAAGGTGTTGTTGTGACCATTGTCCAGCCTTTGTGCATTTGCACGCGGGTCTCATGAAGATTCGTGGCTGGGTGAGCACGGCGAGGAGATCCTACTGCTGATGTAACTGGACTCCAGCTCCTTTCTGGAAGTACATCTGTCTGGTTGAGGAATTTCCTATTCTCATGCCTTCCACGCCTTGGGCCTCATTCTCAGCCATCCCCCACTTGACTCCACCTCATCCCACAGGTGTCCAGCCATTGCCACCCTCTGAGAAGACGGGAGGGAAGTCCCATTGCCCAGATGGGGCTGAACACGAATGCATCGGGGGTGTGCATCTTCCCCCATGCTGTCACCTCCTGGTGCTGGGACCCACAGCCTGGGCCTGGGGCCTTAGAAAAGAAGTCCATGAGTTTGAGTAGGAAACTCTGCTCTAGGGAGACCAGCTGCCTGTCCTCACTTGCTGCAATGTCATGAGCCCTTTCAGGCTCTAAAAGTCTTTGGTGCCCTGATTGGAATGTACAGGACCAAACATTCTGTCCTTGTGTTTTTATTCATGTTGTGTCCATTGTTCTTATAAATCTGTTGCTGTGTTTAGCCAATGGTGTCCAGCCCTGGCTCTGTGAGTCCCTGAGCTACTCAAAGAGGACATGGCTAATAGACAGCTTTCCTGTCATGTTCACAGAACAGGGAGATGTAAGATTCCCAGAAAACATTCCCAGTGACTCAGCTGTGAGACACTTTGTGCAGCTTCTTCATGTCACATGCCCAATGTCTCTGACAAGAGAAGACTTCCCTTATGAGTAGAGATATTAAGACTTCCACTGAGGCATCCTGGAGTATCTTTAAAATGTCTGACTGGAGCACCTGGGCGGCTCAGTCAGTTGAGCATCCAATGCCAGCACAGGTCATGATCTCATGGTTCATGAGTTTGGGCCCTACATCAGGTTCTGTGCTGTCAGCACAGAGCCCCACTTTGGATCCTCTATCCCCTTCTCTCTCTGCCCCTCCCATGCTCATTCTCTCTCTCTCTCTCAAAAATAAAATAAACATGAAAAAGAAATGCCTGACATTAGGAGCTTGGGAGAGTGGATGATGAGGACAGTGGGGTATCCTTGGGCCACTGTGAATAATGGAAGGTGAATAGAAGCTGTCAGTGGGCAGAGGCCTGACCACCTGGATTTATCTTCATGTGTGAATAAGTTTTACCCTGAGCAGACTCCAGCCATGACTCCCTTCATTGACTCATTATGGAGAGTGGCCTTCAATACCACGGTCACGCTGACCTCAGGTTCCCAATCATGCAAATAGACTCAATGCCTCCCTTCACCCCACAAAGCCTGCAGAAGGGGATGCAGGCCTCCTTCCAGCCCCCATTGTGGTACATCTGAATCTAGGTGCCCTTCAAGCCCAGCCAGAGAGCAGAGATGAGCGGAGCAGTTAGCAGCTTTCTGGAGCAGCTCAGACCAGCCCCTGAAATGCCACCTGCAAGATGAGTTCTCTCCAGCTCCATTGGTAGAGTCTGGCTGGAGGCCAGGGCCTTGGCCCATGGGAATCCACACCTTTGGGAGGTAACCCTTTGTCCTGCTGTGTTTCAGACATCAACGAGTGTAGACCACCCTTAAAAGTGTCCTGTGGAAAATTCGCAGAGTGTGTTAACACAGAGGGGAGCTACTACTGCATGTGCAGCCCAGGATACAAGCTTGCTTCTGGGGCAAAAACATTCAAGAGTGAAAGTGAGAACACGTGTCAAGGTAAGAACCTCCCTATGTCTTCTATCCATGAGGTGGGAAGCCATTTTCCCCATGTTCTCTAGGCATCAGAGAGCTGTCCTTGGCACCTACCCAGTCACAGACCCCTCTTTGAACCCCAAGGCTCAGAACTCTCTGCAGAGGGTCACTTCTAAAAGTTCAAAGTATCCCTTGCCCCCCCCCCATGCATCTTATTTTTGTAAAACAAAAGAGAGGGATGGTATTCAAGATAGTTAAGGAGCTCACGGCATATTGTTTCCAGCACAAAATCCCTCCTCTTTACCCGCATCAGTGACTGCCAGGATGAGACCTTTCCCCACCAAAGCCCACTTGGGCTTCGTCCAAGAACCCTTGGACCCCTTGGGCCATGTTGGGCTCAGGGACCCCATCCAGAAACACTGGAGTCGGAAAACTTGAGAGCTGAGCTTTCCTGAGTCACTACACTCCCTGGCATCCTGACCCCCCTTCTTGGGTGCTCAGTCTCTGTCTCCTTCCCTGCACAAGGCTTACCCTGACTCTCCCCAACAATTTCAGTTCACATTCCTGAGAGCAAACCAGATGACCAGAACCCAGAAGAATGTTGTGCGGAGTCTAAGCAGAATTACACAGAATTACCCCCATACACACGGAGAAAATTACATGATCAGATGGGGCTCCCATCTAGACAAGATAACAACAGAAGATATCATGGGGGACGAGGAGGTAAGCAGTCGCCCTGAGGGAAATAAAACAAAGTCCATCACTGGGAGCCAGACAGGACCCTTGTCGGGTTATGCAGCATTTTCCCTGCACTTGGCCCCCTAGAAGACCCACTCTGGCCTTTGTCCAAATGCTCAGGCTGGGACACAGATGCCCATGAAATCCCATCCTGGCTGGAAGCTGCCCAAGCAGCTGAGGGCACCAGATCTGGGAGACGGGGAGGACTCAGGCCAAGTCCATCCATATCTGGGCAGCAGAGAATCTAGGCCACCACATTCACCCATAGCACACCTGTATGTGAATAAGAAAAGGCACTACTCACCAGAGAGGAGACAGTGGGGCCTTCTCGATGCTTCTATGCCCAAACCAGAGTCTTTGAATAACCAAATGACCGCCTGGAAAGGTACTTGGCTTGACTCGACCCCAGATCCTACCCACCCCTCAACACACACAGATGCTCTCACACCTAATGAACCACTGTTGTTTCTTGCAGGCAGCTATTTCAGCAGCTGGACCCCGCCCCGTGGAATCAAGAGCCGGGTGAGTTGGCCCCAGCAGGGACCAGGAGACAGGAAATCCTTCCTCGAAGTATGGGCTGCCCCCCACCCCCCGCAGGGGACATTTTCCCCAAGCTTCCCCACTCACTTGTGAGGCTCTCTGACCTCATCTCCCCTCTTCCCAGAGGCTCTCCCGCTTCTTTGAAAGACTCGAAGATCTGGCCAGAAATTTCATACCAGCCTTAGTCCAGGACACCATCCAGGTAAGGGCAGAATCCAAAGGAGACAAGCTGGCAGCATCCCATAAAAGCCCTGGGAAGCCTTGGTGTGGAAGGAGGCAGCCCCAACACAATGGTGGCCTCTCCCAGGGTGGGTGGGGGAGAGTAGACACAGGTATTCATTCTCACTGTTAGACACCCTCCTGTACCTACTACCAACGCTTCATCCTACTGATCTTGGAAATTGGGTTTATGTCATCCAAGGTCATTCATGAACAGGGCTGATGAGGAAGAGCAACCCCAGGAAATCCCAAACAGTACCACCTTCATCCTCCAAATAGACTTTGTTCTCCAGGATCTTTATTCTGAGGCTGAGTGCACAGCCTCCTCCTGCAGCATGGTCCCCGGCTCACTACTTCTGTGTTTGCTTTCCCCCCAGGGCCTCGTACAAGGGGTAGATGAGCTGCTGCAGATCCCAGAAGACCTGGAGGACCTGCCCCACTCAGACCAACGCTGCGTGGCCACGAACTTGCTCGTTGGCCTGGAGGACTCCCTGAGAAACATGAGTCAGGCCCTGCCCAATGGGACACTGACCTTCAATGCCTCTGCAGGCACAGGTAAGTGCTGGGCTCTGCCTCAGGCTCCTGCCCCACCCTTTATCACCTCCTTTATCCCCTGGGGCCAGTGACCAGAACTGTATCTCAGTGGGACAAGCCATAAACCAATTAAAGTTGGTTAAAAAGAGGAGCACTGGGGAGGCTCAGTCTGTTAAACATCTGACTTCGGCTCAGGTCATAATCTCACGCTCGTGAGTTCAAGTCCCATGTCGGGCTCTGTGCTGATGGCTAGCTCAGAGCCTGGAGCCTGTTTCGGATTCTGTGTCTTCCTCTCTCTCTGCCTCTCTCCTGCTTCCTGCTCACACACTCTCTCTCGCTCAAAAATAAACATTTAAAAATGGTTAAAAAGAAATTAATATATTATGCTAAGTCAGAGAGGGATGAACACCATCTGATCTCACTTATACGTGGAATCCTAAAAAAAAAAAAAAAAAAAAAAAAAGTCACAAGCTTATAGATACAGATTAGAAGGTGTCAGAGGTAGGGATGAGGTGTGTGGGGGTGGGGCAGTGGGCTAATGGGTGAAGGGGATCAAAAGATATAAAATAACTGAGTCATGGGATGTAATGTACAGGATGATGGCTATAGTTAATAATACTATATTACATATTTCAAAGTTGCTACAAGAGTAAATCTTGAAAGTTCTTATCACAGGAAAAAATTATAACTTTATGTGGGAACAAGTGTTTACTACACTTACTGTCATGATCATTTTGCAATATATACAAACAATAAATCATGGTGTACACTGGAAACTAATAAAATGTTCTATGTTAATTATACCCCAATTTTAAAAAATGAATAAAGCTATAAATAATATACATTTAAATATAAACTAAATTATGAACAGATGAGTTAATGTTAATGAAGAATATAAGATACAATAAAAAATGGCTTCCCAAGAAAACAATTTATTTAATTTGGAATAATATGAAGTTAATGTCCTCTCACAGTGAAGTATTTTATTTGTTTTATTTGAGGTAAAATTCATGTAATGTAAAATCTGCCATTTTATTTTATTTTTTTAATGTTTTTTATTTATTTTTGAGAGAGAGAGAGAGAAAGCATGAGCAGGGGAGGATCAGAGAGAGAGGGAGACATAGAATCTGAAACAGGCCCCAGGCTCTGAGCTGTCAGCACAGAGCCCGATGTGGGGCTCGAACCCACGAACTATGAGATCATGACCTGAGCTGAAGTCGGACGCTTAACCGACTGAGCCACCCGGGTGCCCCAAAATCTGCCATTTTAAACAGATTAAAAAGCATACAATTCAGTGGGATTTACTACATTCACAACGTTGTAATCATTGCCTCTATTTCTAAAAGATTTTCATCACCTTGAAGTAAATACTGTACCCCCTGCCAGAAGTCACTTGTCATTCCTCTGCTCCCCCACCCCCTGGCCACCACAGGTCTGTTTTCTGTCTCTGTGGATGCGCCTATTCTGGACTTTTCAGATCTAGAGAATCAGACACTATGTTGTCTTTCCCTCAGCATGATGTTTTTAAGGTTCATCCACGTTGTAGCATCTATCAGTGTTTCATTCCCTTTTGTGGCTGAGTAACATTGACTTGTAGATGGATACAGCCCTTTTTGTGTGCCTGTTCATCCACTGATGGACATTTAGGTTGTTGCCACCTTTTGGCTCCTGCAGACAGTGCTGCTATGAATATTGGTTCACATGTTTTTGTTTGAATAACTGTTCTCAGTTCTTTGGGTTAGGATTGGAATTTCTGGGTTATACAGTAATTTTATGTTCAACTTTTTGAGAACCATCAAAACATTTTCCAAAGAGGCTGTTTTTACATTTTACATCCCCTCTGGCAATGGACCCCAATTCCTACCTCCCCTCCCAGCAACACTTGGTACTTTCTTTTTTTTTTTTTTAAGTTTATTTGTTCATTTTGAAAGAGAGGGAGCACAAGCTTGGGGGCAAGGGGAGGAAGCAGAGAGAGAGAATCCCAAACAGGCTCTGAGCTGTCAACACAGAACCTGATGTGGGGCTCGAATCCACAAACCATGAGATAATGACCTGAGCCAAAGTTGGACGCTCAAGCAACCATGCCACCCAGGCGCCCCTGTTTTATTTTTGTTATAGTCTTTTCAGTTTGTGTCTGCTGATCTCATTGTGGTTTTGATTTACATTTCCCGATGACTAATGTTTCACAATTTTTGTGTAATTGCTGAACATGTGTGTATCTTCTTTGGAGAAATGTCTATGCAAGTCCTTTGCCTATTTTTTGACCCATTGTTTGGCTTTTAGTTGCTGAGCTGGAAAAGTTCTTTATATGTTCTAATAGTAGATTCTATGAGACATGTGATTTGCTAATATTTTCTCCCATTCCATAGATTGTCTTTTTACTTTATGTTTTTAATGTTTTATTTATTTCTGAGAGAGAGAGAGAGAGAGAGAGAGAGAGGCAGAGTGAGCAGGGGAAGGTCAGAGAGAGAGGGAAACACAGAATCCAAAGCAGGCTCCAGGCTCTGAGCTGTCAGCAAAGAGCCTGACACAGGGCTCGAACCCACGAACTGTGAGATCATGACCTGAGCCGAAGTCGGATGCTTAACTGACTGAGCCACCCAGGCACCCCAGTCTTTTTACTTTAATAAACAGGTGCTTCTGTTTTGAAATTCATTTTCTCTTTTTTCCTTAGTTGCATGTGCATTTGATGCTGTTTCTAAGAATCCATTGCCAAATCCAAGGCTGTGAAGATTTACATCTGTGTTTTCTTCTAACTGTTGTACTTTTAGCCCTTAAATTCAGGTGTATTTGTTTCTTTGTTTTAGAGAGAAAACGAGAAAGAAAGAGATGGGAAGGGGCAGAGAGAGAAAGAGAGAGACAGAATCCAAACAAGCTTCAAGCTCAGTGCAGAGGCCAACACGGGGCTCGATCTCACAACCTTGGGATTTTACCTGAGCTGAAATCAAGTCTGATGCTCAACCAACTGAGCCATGGAGACATGCCTTAAACCTGGCATGCCCCTCTGCGTTAATTTTATGTTTGTTGTATGAGGTAGAGTTCCAGTTCTTCTTCTGTGTGTGGATGGCCAGATGGATGTAAACACACATATCAATAATGATATCATTCCAACCACTACAGCCACAAATACTATGCTAACTCCCTTACCTAACTCTGACATCTCACAGACCTGTCCCTGAAGGTGCAAGAACAAGGAGACACAAATGTCATCTTGAGTCAGAACCAGGCAAAGATGCTGCTAAACTTGGATGAGGGGCACGAATCTAATGACTCAGGTAACGGCTGAGATGGGAGGAAGGTCACAAGATACCCAAGGATGTGACAAACGGGGACCTGAAGCTTAAGGGGAAGTAGGGAACATAGTGGCACCAAAAGGGTCCATCTGAGGCAGAAGGGGCCCCTTGGGCACCCCCAGGTATCGACACTGGCTTGTCCTGCAGGTGCTTCTGTGGTGGGCCTCATCTCCACTCCAGGGATGGGCAAGTTTCTGGCTGAGGCGCCCCTGGTCCTGGAGCCCAAGCAGCAGGAAGCCCTGCATGAGCCCAAGGGCTTGCTGGGAGAGGCCTCCCCTGTCCTGCTCTCAGATGTCATCTCTGCCTTTATAAGCAACAAGGACACCCAGAACCTCAGCTCCCCCGTCACCTTCATCCTCTCCCACCATGTGAGTGCTGGTGGAATGGGGCTGTGGGTGTGCAAGGGACTGGTCTGGGGCTCAGCCTCGCTGTCCACATCACCCTTTGTGTCTGGGGGGGGGTCCTCCATGGGTGAGTCATCCCCCCAGGAGGGTCCTTTGCAGACCAGCTTGGGATGAGCATTTCTGAACACCAGGACCACCAGCTCCCACCTACACTCTGTTCCTATACAGCCAGTGACCCCTGGGCCAACGCACAAGGTGCTCTGTGTCTTATGGGAACAAAGTCAGGATGGATGCGGTCACTGGTCCACCACAGGCTGCAGGCTAGTGGCCACTGGGGACTCCAGCACCACCTGCCAATGCACCCACCTCAGCAGCTTTGCCGTCCTCATGGCCCACTACGACGTGCAGGTGAGCTCCCTGGGGAGGCCGCAGTCCATGTCGATCACTCTCTAACATGTTTCCCCACACGTAGGAGCTTTAAAGAAACAAATGTGTATCTCACGGTTTCTGTGGGACAGGAATCGGGTGTGGTGTAGCTGAGTTGCTGCTCAGGGTCTTACAAGGCTGACTCCATGGAGTCAGCCAAAGCTGCATTCTTGTCTGAGGCTTAGGGTCGTCCCGTGAGCTCCCTGGTGGCTGGAAGAATTCAGTCCCTTGCAGTTGTAGGACTGGGGTTCCACATTCTTTCCAGCGATGAACAGGAGACCCTGATGAGCTCCTAGGGTATCCCTGCATCCCTTCTCCCCAGGCCCTCACACAGTGTATCAGCATTTCTGTCCAGAAGCCAGCAGGAGAAGCTCCCTCACCTCAAAGCTCTCAAACTTTGAATCTTCTCCTCCAGGAAGAGACCAGAGCTTTTGAGGTCTCATTGGTTAGGCCAGATCCACCCAGGATAAAATCCCTCTCTTAAACTCAACTGATATAGCACTTGACTTCCATCCACAAAATCCCTTCACAGTGGCACAAATTAGCATTTAGCTGAACACCCAGAAGAAGATGTGTGTACACCTTCTATCATTGCCAAATTAAAGTTTTGCTTATCACAGAGCTCTTCAGGACAGGAGTGTTTTGGGGCTATAGAAAGGAAGATTTGGTGGTGGCCAAGGTCAGGGAGGGCCAGGAAAGCCAGTGAGTACAGGCAGGTTAAGAACTGTGTTTGCCTTCGCCCTTGGCCAGCAGAGCTGGTTACTTCTCTGGATCACCAAAGCCAAAGTCTCACTCAGGTGACCTAAAAGTAAAATAAACCCTTGTGAGTTCTGGGGTTCTGTCTTGAATAAGGACTCTCTTATCTCTCAATTCTTCCAAGGTCTGAGTTCATCAGCTCAGATTTCCATAAAATTCTGGTATTCTGCACCTCATGCCAGTCAGAGTGGCTAAAATGAGCAAATCAGAGAATTCTAGATGCTGGCGAGGATGTGGAGAAACGGGCACCCTCCTACACTGTTGGTGGGAATGTAAACTGGTGCAGCCCCTCTGGAAAACAGTGTGGAGGTTACTCAAAAAAATAACAATAGAACTCCCCTAAGACCCAGCAATAGCACTGCTAGGAATTTACCCAAGGGATACAGAAATGTTGATGCACAGGGGCACATGTACCCCAATGTTCATAGCAGCACTCTCAACAATAGCCAAAACAGGGAAAGAGCCGTAGTGTCCATCAACAGACGAATGGATCAAGAAGATGTGATTTATCTACACAATGGAATACTACATGGCAATGAGAAAGAATGACATCTGGCCATGTGTAGCAACATGGATGGAACTAGAGGGTGTTATGCTGAGCGAAATAAGTCAGGCAGAAAGACAGATACCATATGTTTTCACATATAAGAGGATTAGGAAGAACTTAATGAAGGACCATGGGGGAGAAGAAGGGGGAAAATAGTGGGGGAGAGGAAGGGAGGCAAACCATGAGAGACTCTTCAATGCTGAGAACAAACTGAGGACTGATGGGGGTGGGCGGGGAGAAGGGAGATGGGCATGGAGGGGGGCACTTGTGGGGATGAGCACTGGGTGTTATATGGAAACCAACGTGACAATAAACTATTTGTAAATAAATAAATAAAATAAATTATATAGAGAACAAAAAGAAAATTCTAGTATTCTGAACCTGGAGGAAATTATCCAATAACAAAAAATTTACCTACCTTCTTCTTTCCTGATTTGGCAACACAAAAAATAAAAACAAAATAAAAAATAGTGGAAGGGCTATTATGCCAGAGCAGGAAAATGTGACTATGATATCCTCTTGGCCTCTTTTTGCTCAGTCCCAGGAGGAGGATCCCATGCTGGTCGTGATCACCTACCTGGGGCTGGTCCTGTCTCTGCTGTGTCTCCTCCTGGCAGCCCTCACCTTCCTGCTGTGCAAATCCATCCAGAACATCAGCACCTCATTGCACCTACAGCTCTCAGTCTGCCTCTTCCTGGCCCACCTACTCTTCCTCACGGCCATCAACCAGACCAAGATCAAGGTACTGACACTGTCACAGAGGACCCCCCGCCCTGAGCCAGGAGATGCTCAGTTCATGGAGCCATTATTGCACTGATACCTTAATACAATATCCTTGGGCCCCAGGGGTTTGGAGGGTAAAGAGCCTATTTCACATTGACTAATGAAGTAGAAGACAATCTTCTCTCAACAGCTCAACCATATATATAATAAGTCTCCCCTCCAGCAAGGTATGGGAGAGATGCTGGGGCCACCCTCCTCCCTGACAGTCCCTCCTGATGACTACTTACTCCTCCCCCAGGTGCTGTGCGCCATCATTGCCAGTGCCTTACACTATCTCTACCTGGCCTCCTTCACCTGGATGCTGTTGGAGGGTCTACACCTCTTCCTCACTGCACGCAACCTGACAGTGGTCAACTACTCCGGTATGAACAGGTTCATGAAGAAGCTCATGTTCCCTGTGGGCTATGGAGTCCCGGTTCTAATTGTGGCCATTTCTGCTGCATCCAGACCTCACCTTTATGGAACACCCACCCGGTAAATGCAAATTCCCACTGTCCTTATCTTCTTCAGCACAACCATAGTCATCATAGAACCAATAGCAATTTAATTTCACCAGAACATAAGAGGCAGAGGAAAGGTCAGTGACCACTCCAATGACATCTATCTGGTGGAAGATGGTGTTCATTGAACGACTGTTTTTAAGTCCTTAAGATTTCATTATTTTAAATGCTCACGATGAGGTATTTAATAATTATATACTACACATTTTAGCGATTCTTTATCCCCAAAGGCCAATATTTTCTTGAATCACTTCTCATCTCTCTCTTAGATGCTGGCTCCACACAGACAAAGGATTTATATGGACCTTCCTTGGCCCCGTCTGCATCATCTTCTCTGTGAGTAATGCATGACGTCAGAGCATCCTGACTGCCAAACTCATTCAAAGAGCAGGTGTATCAAGAGGGTTACAGGGAGGCTGAGCAATCATTCCAGTTGACCCAGGACTGGTGGAGACCCAAGGATGCAGGAATTTCCATTGTAAAGCCGAGACTAACATGTTTCCTGAGACCTGGGACTTTCAGTATTAAAATTTGGAATTTAATGCAAACTGCATCAATCTGACCACTGAAGTTACAGGACAAACACATGCCTGAGTTACAAGGTGGTTGGTCTAGCCTTCCAGCACTGCTACAAAATACAAAAGCTTCTTACCTGCTGGGTTAGGCGTTGGATGAGCTAGGAGGCTGCTTACCAGATGTGGAGTGAATTTAATATGCATGTGGGCTTTCTGCAGATTAATTTGGTTTTCTTTCTGATGACCTTCTGGATTGTGAAAAGCAAGCTCTCTTCACTCAATAGAGATGTGTCCACCCTCAAGAACACCAGGTGAGGATGGGTCAGAGGGGCACAGCCCCTACTCCCTGTACAGAGCATTAACCCCACGGCTCCGAGATCTGATGTCCTTTCACAGGATCCAGAGGGGGCTGGAGGAGAGGCGTATAGCCACCCCCTTGGCAGCCAGCTCAGATGCTGTGGTTTGCTGATGACGTCCACGCCAAAAACATCCTATCCATGCACAACCCCAGCATCAAACTACCTCAGCTGCACAAAGGACAGACTTTGCTCTGAGAAACAGGGATTGTTTCCATGCCTTACATAGTAGGTCCTGAGAACATCATGTCCTTATAACACACTCAAATAATCACATAACTGTTCCCAGAATCCAGTGTCCCCTTTCACGGCCATACCTCATGTGTGCTCTGCCCCCTGCCTTCCCCTTCTCTTGCACCAGGTGAACTCAGGTTCATTACCACATGTCACATCATCTAAGAGTTTGGGGATGTCCTTCCATTCCCTCAACTCTGCACAGAATCAGTGGTCTCTATTCTGGGCAAAGCATGTGTTGGGTCAGGTCATGGAGAGAGTGAGGACAGGAACAGTCCTGGAAGGGACCCGGGCAGAAGTACCTCACTTTTCAAATGTTATACGTGATCGTTTTTGTCTTTCCACCAGACTCTATGGTCTGTGAAAACAGAAGTCTTGTCTTGGTTGCTTTGAATGCCCAGGCACTCAAAGCATAATACTCTATCTTGACCTATACCTTTTTTCATTTTTTAGAAATAGAGTCTGCCACTTTCAACCTTAGTTCTTATGATCTTTTTTCTAAATCACAGCTGGCTTTCCCTGTGATAAGAATGGCAACGTGTAATTTTTCCCTTGGTCTCTCACTTGTCGCTTTTGTACCATTTTCCTTTTTTTTTTTTTCTGTTTAACTCGCCACTTTGAGGAACTTAAAACCAAAGAGGGAGGGAAAACAAACAATTAAAAGAAAGTGGTATAATGCTGAAATGACATTTCGGCTTGGGGGACTTACACACTGCTATTGGGAAAACTTGGAAACTCTTATACATTTGAGATTTGACTCCATAAAGAGATTTTTGAGCTATTAGAGCCAGTCCCTTGGAGATGGGTCTGGCAGCGACCCAAAGACAGAAATCATAGAACTTGAGGCATCTTCTCTGGTTTAAGGCAGCACACACAGTGGAGGTCAGACCTACAGTCTATCAGGCTGTGTGAATGCCCAGGCACCAGCCCAGGGCCAGGTGATTAGAATGTTCTCAATACCGTCAGCTGAATGAAATTAGGTATCTTCCTGAAACACCATGATCTTTTTGACACTCACGTTCTGGAGTGTCACTACCATCCCCAGTCCTACTCGAAATGCCATCCCAGACCCAAATAGCATTTGTATTTAGAGAGTCATTGACAGTAGAGTTCAAAGTTGATTGTGACTCAGTAGGAAGCATCCGTGGAGTGGACAGGAAAACAGCCCTGGTTGTGTTGTGCATCACGAGCCCCCTTCCTCCTCCCCAGGATGCTGACATTCAAGGCGACGGCTCAGCTCCTCATCCTGGGCTGCACGTGGTGTCTGGGCCTCCTGCAGGTGGGGCCAGCCGCCCACGTCATGGCGTACCTCTTCACCATCATCAACAGCCTACAGGGCGTCTTCATCTTCCTCGTCTACTGCCTCCTCAGCCAGCAGGTACCACTGTCGCGCCCCCATCCAAGACCCTTCCTGTCCTCGCCCCTCTCCGTGAGCTGACCCAAGTGCCCTCTGCCTCTGCAGGTCCTGGAGCAGTACAGGAAATGGTTCAGAGGACTCAGGAAAACCAAAGCCGAGTCTGAGAAGTACACGCTCTCAAGCGGGATCCTGTCGGATGCCTCCAAGCACAGTGTGGTAAGACTTTGCAGTGTTCCCAGAGCACTTCCCAAGCCGTCCACTTGAGCATCTCATGCCTACCTCACTGGACAAGCTGGGCGTACAGCAGGCGATGCCCTAGGATGGCTCATGCCTGGACTCCCTTGAAGGCACTTCCTGTCTTGAAAGGAGGTCTTCCTATACTTTCACTCACTGAGCTTCTATGCTCACATTGACCTTGCACATGACTGTCCTCTTTCCCCACATTTGGGGAGCACTTACATTGCCTGACATGGTGCAACCACTATTTAATTGTACTTAAAACTGACAAGATACAAAATACTCATAAGCAGAGAAAGATGATTTGCTCAGCTAAGTAATTGGGAAGTAATAACCTGGAACAGAGATGCAGAGTCGCTGCATCCCAAATCATTTCCTGCCATCCCTATATATGATGAACAATAAACACCTGGTGTATACATAGTCATAAAAGTGAAAGAAGTATGAAGTTGCTTTTGAGACTTCCCTTAAAAGTCTGCAGTCATTCCCAGTATTTCCAAATATACAGACCCTGTAAAACCTCATTAGAGAATCACAGAGGGCAGAGGACAGATGCTGGCAATGAGAATTGCACCAGGCATTTGTATGTTTAGGTCCACAAGACTTTTTCTCTTCTTAGACCTCTTTTGACAGTATTTTATAGTTTTCTGTGTACAAACCTTGCACTTTCTAACACAGAATCATTTTTACACCTTCCTTCTTAGGAGCATTGTAATGAACAGCTAACCCTGGAGACCTTGTCTCATAGAAAATGAAAGAAACACGGAACCGTCATCTTTTGGGCAAAGAGTATTAAAAACACGTTCTCATGTTTGTTACAAATAGCTCTTCTTGGCACGTCTGTGGCAGAAAGTATGTGAGAAACGTTTGTCATTCAGCTGCCAGAGAATTTGGGTTTTCTGGTACATACAACATACTCATCTCCTTCCCAGTATAATCAGGAGCTCTAACCCAATACCCCAGTAGAAACTTCTTTTTCTAAAAAGATTCTTCCTCAGGCTGATGATACATAACAAGGAAAACCAGCATCAAGGGACTTCCCTAAAATAACGTAGGAGAGGAAAGTAATGTTCAAGTACATGCACGTCAACAAGTAAATCCAGTTGCCCAAGACTTTCCTGATTTTAGTCCTAACAGTATCACTTCCCAGGAAACACTTTGGTTACAGGCAAAGTAGACCAGTTGGTCTCCATCCATACAGACATACATGCCTCAACTTCTGTCTCCACTTCTGAAGCCCTACTGATTTATTCATTCCAAAAATATGTGCTGGATCAAGAAGACCCAATTCCCGATTCCACAGATTTTAAATGTGGGGAGGAAGTTTGATTAGATGGAGTAAAATCAGAACTATGAGACTCAAGTCTCTGCATCTTTACATTTTGTAAGTTGAGCTGTGGGAAAAGGGGTAGATTGATATAGTACATTTATATGTAGCATAATATTTCATCCTTACCATGCAGTCTAGGCAGGATCTAAATCTAGAGTAGTTCCCCCTATAAGATATTCCCTGTAGGCTCCCACTGACCAATTTTGTAACAATTTGAACATCAAATGACTGTACATGATTATAATATTTTAGATAAACATATTTATGAGTCCATAGTGAGACTTAGAAGATCAGTTAATGGATGTAGAAAATATGATAGAATTAGAAGAGCATAATTCTTTCAATATCCCATAAATAGCCACTAAAAACATTGAGTGAAAGGGTATTGAGAGCAGGCTGGGTACCACAGCACCAAAGAGTCACCTCTCAGGTTACCGATTAATTACGAGGGTCAAGTGCCCATTTTCAATGTGGAGATCTGACAGCCACCATATGAATTAATGCTCATGCTTAACATCATCAATGGTGAGCAAACTGACATTAGGCATATCAGGAGATACATACTCATTGTTGAAGTTACAATATCCCATTTTTAATACACAAAAAATTGAAATCTAACCCAGCCTTTAGAGAGAGGGTAACCAAACTATAGCCTGCAGGCCAAATCCAGGGAACTGCTTGTTTTTGTTAATAAAGTTTTATTGGCACATTGATGTATTGTCTATGGCTGCTTTCATGCTACAACGTCAGAGCTGAGAAATCAATATCATTTTTAAAAGTGGCCAGGCAGAGAAAGACAGTTACCGTATGTTTGCACATATAGGAGGATTAGAAGGAACTTAATGGAGGACCGTGGGGGAGAAGAAAGGGAGAGAAATAGTGGGGGAGAGGGAGGGAGGCAAACCATGAGAGACTCTTGAATGCCAAGAACAAACTGAGGACTGATGGGGGTGGGGGGAGGGGAAGGGGGTGATGGGCACGGAGGAGGGCACTTGTGGGGATGAGCACTGGGTGTTATATGGAAACCAATTTGACAATAAACTATTTAAAAAATAAAAAATATTGAAGAATGAAGTGTCATGATGTCTGCCACTGACCATCAGATGTTTTAGCAAGAAAATGTATCCATGTGTGGAAATAAATTGAGAAAGATCTTTCAATGTGGCACTATGTTAACCATTGTTGACTCTAAATAGAGAGTACATAAGGATTCATTCATTGTATCATTCTTCCAAATTCTATGTTTAAAAGTGGTAAATAAAAGGTGTCAGAAAAGTAAATAAATATACTAATTAGTTATTAATGTGCAAATAAAATGTCTTTTCTTCCACACAAAACTAATTTTGTGAATGGAACTTTTCTAAAATTATGAATTTGCACAGCTAATGGTGATGGCTTTGAAATCAAAAATTTTAAATAAAATTAAATAATTAAAATATTATGAGGGGCGCCTGAGTGGCTCAGTTGGTTGGGCGATCAACTTCAGCTCAGGTCATGATCTCATGGTCTATGGGTTCAAGCCCCATGTCAGACTCTGTGCTGACAGCTCAGAGCCTGGAATCTGCTTCAGATTCTTTGCCTCCCTCTCTCTCTTCTCCTCACCCTCTTGTGTTCTATCAAAAATAAATAAACATTGAAAAATTTAAAAATAAGGGCACCTGGGTGGCTCAGTTGGTTAAGTGTCCAACTTCAGCTCAGGTCATGATCTCTTGGTTCATGGGTTTGAGCCCCATGTCAGACCCTGTGCTAACAGCCCAGAGCCTGGAGCCAGCTTAGGATTCTGTGTCACCCTGTCTCTCTACCCCTCCCCTCTCACACTCTCTCTCACAAAATAAATAAATAAACATTAAAAAATTTTTTTAAATAAAAAAAGTGAGAAAATAGGAAGGAATCTTGATCACTTCAGTCTAGAAAATAAAAAATGAAAACACGTATTGTTTTCAACATAACAATAAGAAAAATCCACATAAACTACAAAATCATTTTCTTGAACTACCTTACCTATAACAGAGGGAAGGTAAGGATAACAAAGTAGCCTAAAGTCTAAGGAAAGACAGGATCATCCACATATAGGAAAGGACAAAAAAAAAAAAAAAAAGAAAGAAAGAAAATAAAAGGAGACCTCAGTGCCATAGGAATGCTTAAAAGAGAATTTCTGAATGAATTGCTCAGGGCCAAGTATGGACAGTCATGAGAGTGTAGAAACTTCGAGGGAATGGCAAAAAATATGTACAAAGAACTTCTAAAATTCAATAATAAAAAGGTTAACAAAATATTAGAAAAAGAAATTTGTAGGTAATTAACAGAAAAAGTAAAGCAAATTGCTAATAAACACGTAGTAATCAAAGATATTGAAATTAACACAACAAGGAGCTAATACTGTCAAGCATTAGATTGCAAAAAATCCTCCAAGTTGGACAGCATTCAAAATTGGTTAGAGCAGGGCAAAAGGGATATTCCCATACAGTTAAATTGATATAAACACTTCATTCCGCAATTTGTTACTAACTATGAAAATTTAACATACCCCTAAAGCCCAGCAATCCCATATCTTTCGATCTACCTCAGAGAAACACTACTATATTCATAGGAAGATATTTACAAGCAGGTTTTGGGAATTACATTTGCAAGAGGGAAATAACTGAAAAATATTCTAGCAGAATGCACAAGACCAAGAGTGAAACCTAACTTGAACTATGGACTTTGGGTGATTATGATGTGTCAGTGTAGACACACAAGTTATAACAAACGTGCCCTCTGGTGAGTGATGCTGATGTCCAGGTGGGGCAGGTGGGTACACATGTTTGGACCAGGGCTATATGGGAAAATCACTGCTCCTTCCTGTTAATGTTGCTATGTACCTGTCATTGCTCTTTAAAAAATCAGTCTCTAAAAAAATAGAGCAAGGGCACTGGGGTGGTTCAGTCGGTTAAGAGTCTGACTCTTGGTTTTTGCTCAGGTCATGATCTCACGGTTCGTGGTCTCAAGCCCCGCATTGGGCTCCATGCTGACAGTACAGAGACTGCCTGGGATTCTCCCTCTCCCCCTCTCTCTGCCCCATCCCCACTCTCTCTCAAAATAAATAAATAAACAAACCTAAAAAAAACCTTTTTTTAGTCTTTATTTATTTTTGAGAGAGAGAGCACAAGCAGGAGAGGGAGACATAGAATCCGAATCAGGCTCCAGGCTCTGAGCTAACTCAGCACGGAGCCTGATGCAGGGCTGGAACCCACAAACTGTGAGATCATGACCTGCGCCGAAGTCGGACACTTAACCAACTGAATCACCCAGGCGCCCCTGAAAAAATGTTTTTTAAACAGGAGCACCTAGGTGGCTCAGTCAGTTAAGCGTCAGACTCTTGATTTCATCTCAGGTCGTGATCTCACATCGGTTAGTTGGAGCCCCTCATTGGGCTCTGCAGTGACAGTGCGGAGTCTGCTTGGGATTCTCCCTCCCTCTCTCTGCTCCTCCCCGACTCATGCATCCACATGTGCACACAAGCTCTATCTCAAAATAAATAAACTTCAGAAAAAAATTTTTGAGAAAGTAAGTAGAGCAATTTCAGGGCACCTAAAGATCAAGCCCCAAATTGGACTCTGCACTGGGCATGAGTTTCCCTTTCTCTGCCACTCCCTTGCTCACGTTCTCTCTTTCTCTCTCAAAAAAATAATATGTATATAATAATTAAAATAATAAAATAAATTTAAAAACCGAGCAGTTTCACTGAGGCCCAAATCTCTTGTGTTTCCCACTTGCTTCCCTTTCCCTAAGTCATCCCTGAAAGTACGACTCTAACATGATCATCCTTATATTGCTGCCAAGACCACCCCTGGATTGGGAGAATCCACCCAAAGGGCTGTAACCCAGCACCAAAACATAAGCCCTTTTATGGGTATTTAAGAGTTACACTGATAGCCATTCATTTTAGTTACAAATAGTAAATTACAAATAATCTATTTCATGAGTAAAAATATATATTCCAAATTTAAGGTAATGTTTTTTAGAGTTTTCTAAGGACCCTCAGTATCTGGAATTCAAGAAAGAGAGGAGAGACATGGAGCAGGAAAATATTTTTTATGTTTATTTATTCATTTTGAGAGAGGAGAGAATGCAAGCACGGGAGGGGCAGAGAGAGAAGGAAAGAGAATTCCAAGCAGGCTCTATGCTGTCAGTGCAGAGTCCAATACAGGGCTCAATCTCATGAACTGAGATCACAACCTGAGCCAAAATCAAAAGTCAGATGCTTAACTGACTGAGCCACCCAGGCGCCCCTGGAGCTGGGAAATATTTAAATAATGCCTAAAAATGCCCTAAATTTGTTGAAAGACATAATTTATCAATTCAATGAGTTTTGCAAACCCTAAGCAGATACAAAAAAAAGCCTAAGCACTTCATAATCAAACTGCTAAAAGCCAAGGATAAAAAGACAATCCTAAATGCAACCAAAAAAAAAAAAAAAAAAAAAGGATACCTTACATAAAAGGGAAACAGCAACGTAAGTTTCCATTGATTTCTTATCAGAAACAACTGCAGGCAGGGGCGCCTGGGGGCATTCAGTCAGTTGAGCACCGACTTTGGCTCAGGTCATGATCTCGCAATTCATGAGTTTGAGCCCTACAACGGGCTCTGTGCTGACAGCTCAGAGCCTAGAGCCTGCTTCAGATTCTATGTCTCCTTCTCTCTCTGTCCCTCCCCCACTCACACACTCTCTCTCTCTCAAAAAGAAATAAGCATTAAAAATTTTTTAACAGAAAAAAAGAAACAACTGCAGGTTGGGGAGAGTGTAATGTTAAAGGCCAGTAGCAGGGATGCCTGGGTGGCTCAGTCGGCTAAGCATCTGACTCTTGGATCTCAGCTCAGGTCTTGATCTCAGGGTCGTGAGTTCAAGCCCTGTGTTGGGCTCCACACTGGGCATGAAGCCTACTTAAAAATTAAAGGAATGAATAAATGAATGAATACATACATACATACATACGTACATACATACATACACAACACACAGGTGGCAGTAGCATTTGGAACACAGAGACGCACCGGATCAGGTGCGCCATCACCCCCAGCAGGTCCTGCTTCAGGATAGGGTTGCGCTGATGTAGCCAGGGCTGCAAAGAGGGCCACCTACATATGAGCATTCTGTCTTTACCCACTCAGTTTCTCCCCTGTCCTCTCTCAGACATGCAGGTCCCTGAATGCCGACTCTGAACCCGAGACTTAACTTTTGCTCATTATAGGGCTCGGCAAACTACAGCTCAAGGGCTGGCTGCTGGTGTTTGTAAATGAAGTTTAATTGGCACGGTCGGGCCCGTTCGTTGGCGTATTGTCTATGCCTGAGTTTTGTGGGGATAACCGCAGGGCTGAGTCATTGTAACAGACCGTATGGCTCACAAAGCTGAAATGCTTCCTGTCTGAGCCTTTACAGAAGGCTTGAGTCATTGCGACAGAGACCACATAGCTGACAAAGCAGAAAGTATTTCTCGTCTGGGCCTTTAAAGAGCTTTACTGACCTCTAGTGTGGTAGGTGGAAGATCTCAAAGATGGGCCTCATCCCCTTGCATTACAAGTGCCACAGCCAGAACATTAGTCCCTGATCCAAACATCCATCAAAACGTCAAATATGCAACTTCTATATTCAGAATTTTCACTGCTGGGAGGTAACCCAAATGTTCATTAATAAGAAGTAGCTAAACATGATAGAGCCATACTAGAGAATACTCTACAACTGTGTAAAAGTTACAGATGGAAAACAAATTCTGCAATCATTATACATAGTATGAGCCCATTTCTATTACATGCACGGAGATAGATAAATACATAGGTACATGCATAGAAATAATGATAAGAAGGATCAATACAAAACTATAAACAGTAGGGGTGCCTGGGCATCTCAGTCAGTTAAGCCTCCGATGCTTAGTGTTGGCTCAGATCATGATCTCATGGTTTGTGAGTTCGAGCCTCACATCAGACTCCACACTGACAGCACGGAACCTGCTTGACATTCTCTCCCTCCTTCTCTCTCTGCCCCTCCCCTGCTCACTCTTTCTGTCTCTCTCTCAAAAACAAAGTTTTTTAAAAATTAGCACACTTTACACACTGTATGTTAGTCAATTTGACAATAAATTATATTTTAAAAATAAAAGTTTTAATTGGAAAGAAAAATATTTTTAACAAAACTGTAAACAGTAGATGCCTATAGAAAGAATGATTGTGTACATGTATCTGTGATGTGTGAGGAGGTAAATGGGATGTAAGGGGAAACTTTCAACATACAGTTTCCTGTAGCATTTGAAGGAATCACAACAAGAAGAAAATATAGATTTCTTGTGCGATGAAACATAGAACCATTAAAATCTTAATTTATTACAAAAAAGAAAAAATGAAAACCCATGTAAGTAGATCATTACTTCTGTCTAAGGCTGATGACATTCACACCTGACTTTTATGATTCTCACCCCTACAAGACAGCCCCATCTCTGGATTTGGGGAACAGAAAATTATTTTCGTATTTTCCAGACTCTATTTTATTCAAATCTCTCTCTTCACAAAAACAACAATATTTCACAAGCAAAAGCATTTTTGGAAGGGAGAGAAGTCACTTTCTTGTCTGGAAGCTTCCAATTGCTTTATAAGGCACATGGCATAATTCCTTCTCCTCTCATCCTCCTCCTCCCAAAATGCAGATTCCTTCCAAATACCACTTCATAGAGACTTTCCAAATCCACCTCTTACCTCCCCCTTTCGGGCAATGTCTCAAAACAGTCCCATTCATGAGCATTGGGTTTTAAGTTTATCTTAGTTTTCTGGTTTTTTTTTTTAATTTTTTTAATGTTTTATTTATTTCTAGGAGAGAGAGAGAGAGAGACAGTGTGAGCAGGGGAGGGTCAGAGAGAGAGGGAGTCACAGACTGAAACAGGCTCCAGGCTCTGAGCTGGCAGTCAGCACAGAGCCCGACGCGGGGCTAGAACCCATGAACTGCGAGATCATGACCTAAGCAAAAGTTTGGACGCTTAACCGACTAAGCCACCCAGGCGCCCCTTAAGTTTATCTTAAAAGCATGCCCTGGCTCAGCTGCGTGCTAACGGTGTGACCGTGGACCAATTAGTTCATGTCCATAAGTCTCCATTTCTTCATCCCTAGAATGAGTATAAAAAAGATGTAGGAAATAATCTACTTATCTCACTTATCTCTTCTGTGTCTGGCCATATGCTCTGTGCTTATAGCACTGGCTATCCAATGCGGAAGCAAAAGCACAAATGGATGGACCTCTGTACAAATTAAGGCAAGCGCTATGATTAAAATGAGCACCCAAAAAAGTCTTTCCAAAATATAATTCTTGAGATATTGATTGATATATCGATGGATGTTTTTTCAATTTTTATAACTTGGCTTATGTTAATGCATAATGGGAGAAAACTTTAGGATTGCCTAGGATGATGAAAAATAGAGGGTCAAGATAAAGATAAGTGTGATAGCAGACACTACGTATAGCACAAATCATGATAGTGTCAGAGGAGTGCCTGAAGTTGGGGACACTGACGTAAAGGGTTTCCCGTTCCCAGTGGTTGGTTCTGAGTGGCGGTTATCATTAGTGGGAGCCCCATGGACCAGCTCCAAGTCATGGTCTTTGGGTTTAGAACAACATGGAGGAGGTAAAAGAAGAAGAAGAAGAAGAAGAAGAAGAAGAAGAAGAAGAAGAAGAAGACGACGACGACGACGGAGGAGGAGGAGGAGGAGAAGAAGAAGAAGAAGAAGAAGAAGAAGAAGAAGAAGAAGAAGAAGAAGAAGAAGAAAAGAAGGAGAAGAAGAAGAAGAAGAAGTTGTTCAAACTATACTACCATATTTCCTGGGTCTCCCACTTGCACATGGCAGATGATGGAACTTAGCCTCCATAATCATGTGAGCCAATACCTCACTATAAATCTTTTCATAAATATCTGTGTATGTGTGTGTATCTCCTGTTGGTTTTATTGCTCTGAAGAGTCCTGACTAATACACTGGCCTACAAAGCCTAAAACATATATATCATAATCTGAGTTTTCAAAGAAGACAGTGTCTGTGAAATCATTTCTACTTCAATTGTCCATCTGTAGAAACTTGATTTATAGGAATCTTTCAGCTCCATGAAGGTAAAATCTGTGTCTCTCTTGATCTCTGCCTTAGATAGAGTGAGAAATCAGCATCTTTGAAGGACTGAATAACTAAACCCACAGGCTTAATTACAAAATCCCGACTATGTCGCGAACATTTCCATTCTCATGAATGCTGTTGGCAGGAAAATCCGTTGAGGTGGATTTTCTGGCTCATAGACTGTCAGCATCTGGAAGAGTCTTTGAAGGAAGGAGAGGCTTCAGTGAAGGGCTTAATCCAGGGTGACCAAGAAATTGAGCCATGGCTGGCCCTTTCTATGTTGGAAGTTTTCTGAGCACACTGAAAGGCACATAAAAATTCCAGATTTTGCAGGAATGGAATGTGAAGCATGGCTGACTTCTTTCTTTCACATTGCTGACATGATGAATTTCTCGAAACACACACACACAACATAGTCTTGCTTGTCCTCTGGTAGGGGCTCAGTTCCAATTTCACGTGGGATTCAGAAGATATAATTCAAAAGGTTGTCTTAATTAACCTAGAAAAAATAATATTTTAGAAATTATGTAAGACCACAGGATGATAAGTTTTAAGTTTCCATTGAAAAAAATAAATAAAAAGTTTAAGAACCCTTCAATTTGTTTTTGTGATTTTCAATCACAAAATTTCCCTGACAGATGGTTATGTCAGAGGAACATCAAAAAGCTATATCAGGGGCGCCTGGGTGGCTTAGTCGGTTAAGCGTCCGACTTTCGCTTAGGTCATGATCTCGCGGTTCGTGGGTTAGAGCCCCACGTCGGGCTCTGTGCTGACTGCCAGCTCAGAGCCTGGAGCCTGTTTCAGTCTGTGACTCCCTCTCTCTCTGACCCTCCCCTGCTCACGCTGTCTCTCTCTCTCTCCTAGAAATAAATAAAACATTAAAATATATCAGGGGCGCCTGGGTGGCTTAGTCGGTTAAGCGTCCGACTTTCGCTTAGGTCATGATCTCGCGGTTCGTGGGTTCGGGCCCCACGTCGGGCTCTGTGCTGACTGCCAGCTCAGAGCCTGGAGCCTGTTTCAGTCTGTGACTCCCTCTCTCTCTGACCCTCCCCTGCTCACACTGTCTGTCTCTATCTCTCCTAGAAATAAATAAAACATTAAAAAAAAAAAAAAAAAGCTATATCCGATTGCACTTTGAGAGACTCTGGTCTTCCTCAAAAGTTCCATCTACCTGCATTTCCTAACCCCCAAGTTATAGAGGACAAGAGCAATGAAGTGCTATTGAAAAATATGATCTGTTTCAAGATATATGTCCTGGTCCCTCTGCTTCTGAGTCTGTAAAATGTTGCTTTACACGTGGAGAAACAAAAGAGCGTAGGGGAGAAATTAATGCAAGGCTGGAAATATCTGTCATCAATCACCTAAGATGTAAAAACCACTGATTGCATCTTGTTCCCCTTTAGCGTTTCCATTCCCAATAAAAGTTACTTCTTTCTGGGTCTCCAGGAAGCTCAGTGTAATTTCTGGTGTTTGAGTTGGGCAACTTCAGGTGCTTACCTCTGCACAATAAGTTCATAAAAATTGTGCTGTATGAAATTATTCAGAACTGAACACAAGAGCAAATATTTTGTCTTTCTTGAACAAGGCTTCAGGGAGCCACGAAAGAGATGCCAGGATGAGACACTCCTATATCTTTATTTTTTTATTATTATTATTTTTTAAATGTTTTATTTATTTCTAGGAGAGAGAGAGAGAGAGAGACAGCGTGAGCAGGGGAGGGTCAGAGAGAGAGGGAGTCACAGACTCTGAAACAGCCTCCAGGCTCTGAGCTGGCAGTCAGCACAGAGCCCGATGTGGGGCTCGAACCCATGAACCCACGTGAGATCATGACCTAAGCGAAAGTCAGACGCTTAACCGACTAAGCCACCCAGGTGCCCCGACACTCCTATATCTTTAAACACCAGAGGCACCAAGTTTTAGAAGACTGGGCAAAAAGAGAGGCAAGTAGTACATGTTCTTAAGATAGAAGAGAACCAAACATGTGTCCATGACGATGGGAGAAATACTGTGGAGATGGTAACAGAGGGAGGGGGAAGGAGAGAGGGAGAATGTGCGAACAATGATTGAAAGATAACTAATAAGGCATGAATGATGAGATCCAAAGAGCAGGTGGAAGTAGTGTCTCCATTGAGGGGGAGAGAAATTGCATGCATGATACAAGAATGTGAAATGGATGCATGCGGAGGTTTGGCTGGTATAGCCACTGGCACAAGGTGTCATCGTGATGACTCTGATTTTCTCTGTGAAATAGGTGGTGAGAACATTTGCTGGGAAAGGAGGAAGAGACAGGTGATTCAGTGGCAGAACCAGTGCTGGTGGATATTGGATGAGCAAGGTAAAGAGAGAAACACAGAGACTTCCTGGCAGCATAGAGGGCTCCTTTAGATGGGAAGGAAGACTCAAGGGATTTATTTTTTTTTAATTTTTTAATGTTTTATTTATTTCTGAGACAGAGAGAGAGAGTGTGTGTGTGTGTGAGTAGAGGAGGGTCAGAGAGACAGGGAGACACAGAGTCAGAAGCAGGCTCCATGCTCTGAGTTGTCAACACAGAGCCCAATGCAGGGCTTGAACCCACGAACTGCGAGATCATGACCTGAGTTGAAGTTGGACGCTGAACTGATTGAGCCACCCAGGCACCCCCTTTTTTAAATTTTTTAAGTGTTTTATTTATCTCTGAGAGAGAGAGAGTCAAGGGATTTAACAGAAAGTGGAAGAGATGAGAAAACATCGGTAAAGAACTTGGTAAAGGGGCAGATGGGTGACTCAGTGGGTTGGGCATCTGACTTCAGCTCAGATCATGATCTTACAGTTTGTGAGTTTGAGCCCTTCATCGGGCTCTGTGCTGACAGCTTAGAGCCTGGAGCCTGCTTCAGACTCTGTGTCTCCCTCTCTCTCTGCCCCTCCCCCACTCATGTTTTATCTATCTCTCAAAAATAAATAAAAATTAAACAAATTTTTAAAAAAGAACTTGGTTAAGTCTAAGCCAGTAAGTGTTGGCTCTTGGTAACCATCACCATGAATCATCTTACACCATTACTGCTTTTCCTTCCTGGCTCCTCAGTGGTTAGAGAGTGCAGAAAATAGTCAGACGGCCTTGTAAGAAAGTCCAAGATGCCAGCCAACACTTATTTCTGTTTAATTCATAAATATGCATATCAACTTCCCCATTTTTGCCTTTCTAGGGTTTGCTGCTCAGCGGGTGTAGAGGAAAAGGATAGGATAATGTGGCTCTGAACAGGACATGCATCACCACTTCAGATCACTGATTCTTGTTTACTCAGTTATCCATGCCTGCTGCACAGCAGATGTTTAATAAGAGTGTTGACGTGTAAGAGTTAAGGTGAACACAATTAGTTACAGAGAGGGAAGGAGACAAACCATGAGAGACTCTTGAATGCTGAGAACCAATTGAGGGTTGATGGGGATGGGGGGAGAGGGGAAGGGGAGAAATGGGCATGGAGGAAGTCACTTGTGGGGATGAGCACTGGGTGTTCTATGGAAACCAACTTGACAATAAACTATATTAAAAAAAAGATGAACCCCAATGTTCATAACAGCACTCTCAGCAATAGCCAAAACATGGAAAGAGCCTAAGTGTCCATCAACAGACGAATGGATCAAGAAGATGTGGTATATCTACACAATGGAATACTACATGGCAATGAGAAGGAATGAAATCTGGCCATGTGTAGCAACATGGATGGAACTCGAGGGTGTTATGCTGAGCGAAATAAGTCAGGCAGAGAAGGACAGATACCATATGTTTGCACGTATAGGAGGATTAGGAGAACTTAACAGAGGACCATGGGGGAGAAGAAGGGGGGAAACGGGATGAGAGGGAGGGAGGCAAACCATGAGAGACTCTTGAATGCTGAGAACAAACTGAGGGCTGATGGGGGTGGGGGGGAAGGGAAGGGGGTGAGGGGCATGGAGGAGGGCCCTTGTGGGGATGAGCACTGGGTGTTCTATGGAAACCAACTTGACAATAAGCAATTTAAAAAAAATAATAAAGCATACTACTATTTCCAGAATTAATCAATTAATATAATATAATATAATATAATATAATATAATATATAATAAATGCAACACACACAGAAAAAGATGAACACAATTCCCAGAGGAGTAGGAGCAAAATATATTTTTAAACGAATCTTTAAAAAGAGACCATTGCTAATAGTCAAGGAGTCAAAAAGCAAACCAAGAGTGAGCCACCCTAGAGCATCATAAAGTTGTTCCATGTGATGGGCAGATGGTACTCAAGCAGCTCAGTGACTGAGGTAAGTGGGAGCAATATGTGATCTTACCGTGCTGGGTTTGGAGGCATCAGACACGACCCTGCTGGACAGTGTGTACTTCTCAGACTCAGCTTTGGTTTTCCTGAGTCCTCTGAACCATTTCCTGTACTGCTCCAGGACCTGCAGAGGCAGAGGGCACTTGGGTCAGCTCAAGGAGAGGGGCGAGGACAGGAAGGGTCTTGGATGGGGGCGCGACAGTGGTACCTGCTGGCTGAGGAGGCAGTAGACGAGGAAGATGAAGACGCCCTGTAGGCTGTTGATGATGGTGAAGAGGTACGCCATGACGTGGGCGGCTGGCCCCACCTGCAGGAGGCCCAGACACCACGTGCAGCCCAGGATGAGGAGCTGAGCCGTCGCCTTGAATGTCAGCATCCTGGGGAGGAGGAGGAAGGGGGCTCGTTGTGCACCAGGGACAACGCAACAGAAGCCATTCTCATCTCCACCCCGTGGATGCTCCTGTCTCCCGCTGTTGGTGATGAGTTCTCAGACTGACTTGTGATCAGCTTTGATCTGTGCTGGCAGTGACTCCCTACAGTAAAAATGCCACCTGGGACCAGGATAGTGTTTTGATTTGGACCCAGGAGGATGAGGATACTTCATAATGTAAGTTTCAAAAGTTTTATGATGCTCCACGGAGACCCTGAAATTCATGCAACCAACACTACTGCGGAGGCTCTGTGCTGGGACCTGGGCACTAAAAATAACGAAGGCAAGGGGCACCTGGGTGACTCAGTTGAGCGTCTGACTTAGACTCAGGTCATGATCTCATGGTTTGTGAGTTCGAGCCCCACACTGTGAGTTTGGAGCCTGCTTGAGATTCTCTCTCTCCTTCTCTCTCTCTGCCCCTCCTCCATTTGTGCATGTGTTCTCTCTCTCTCTCTCTCTCTCTCTCAAAATAAATAAACTTTAAAAATAACAAAGGCAAGATTTCTATTTTCATTTGGAAAGAATAATGGTAGGAACAGGGAAGAAATAGCATTAAATCTGCACAAAGTTTGCTGGAAAAAGGGATTGCCCTTGCCTCCCAGAAGATTTGACATCGACTAGGATTTTCTCCAGAGAAAAGAACAAAATAGGGGTGAGAAGGAGCCTGAACTGAGGCAGGGGGTGCAAGCAGAGGCTGGGCTGTGGAAAGAGTCATGGGGTTTTCTCAGTGCTGTGTGGGAACACAAATGTTCTCTGCACATTCATCACAGGGTTGCTGGCAAAATCCAAAGACTTTTGGATGACCAGTGTCGATTCTTCCTGTTGCTGAGGGAGGTAACAAGCTGGGGTTGGAAAGGGACTGCACATTTCGGCCACAGTGCCAGCTCTTCTGACTGAGAAGGATAGCTACATCTCCTTCCTCTGGGTCCCCTCAGAAGACCCCGAGAAGAAACATTAAGGGCTGCTGAGGCACATGGCTTTGCCCTTAGAACCACACATGCTGGTGGGGTTGTCATTCCTTCCTGCATCTTACCTTGTGTTCTGGAGGGTGGATACATCACTGTTGAGGGAAGACAGTTTGTTATGCAAAATCCAAAGGGTCATCAGAAGCAGTGCTACATTGACCTTCAGGAAACCACAGAAGGTTTATCGGATACAATGTCAATCGATCATCTGTATTTAATCTGCCCCACATCAATCCCATGTTTAAGTAGTTTTCATATTAAGTCACTATGTTAGAGCTTACAGTTTTAGGAGGGGTCTTAGAAAACCAAGCAAACTCATAACAATCCAGGGACATTCCTGCCCCTGTCACCGCCCACCCCCTTATGATTCTGCTCTTCTAATGACCCTCAGCTGAGCATTGAGGTTGCTCTGACGTCATTACTCACAGAGATGATGGCACAAACTGGTCCAAGGAAACTCCATAGAAATATCTTTTCTGCACGGAGCCAGCAGCTGAGTGAGAGAGAGGGTAAAAAATGCATTCGTCCTTAGGAATATAGAACAATTATATAAATTCATTCATTCATTCATCAACAAATATTGACTCTTCTGTTATTGCTCTGCCACTGGCTTTGATAACACAGTGGTAAAGAACGTACACAGGGTCTTAAGCCCCACAAATCTCACACGAAGTAGGAAACACACAATTAAACATACTGTAAGAATAAAATGAAAATGTGGAGCTATAAGAATGTATCATTGGGTGTCATGCTGACTTTGGAGTCTGAGGGGTTGGGATGGCTAAGGAAGATTCTCTAAGAAAATTATACTTTCAGCTGAGTTTTTCTGGTTTTTTATTTTTTAGATAGAGAGCAAGCAGGGGAGAGAGAGAGAAAGAGAGAGTGAGAGAATATTAAGCAGGCTCTGTGTTCAGCACAGAGCCCGACATGGGGCTTGAACTCATGAGCCATGAGATCATGACCTGAGCCAAAGTCGGATGCTTAACCAACTGAGCCACCCAGGGGCCCCAAGAAAGAGAGAATCCTAAGCAGGCTCTGTGCTCAGCACAGAGCCCAACTCTGGGCTCGAACTCACCACCCCAGGATCATGACTTGAGCTGAAATCAAGAGTCAGACACTCAACTGACTGAGGCGGCCAGGTGCCCCTTAGCTGAGATATTAATGGTGAATGCTGTTTCTGAGATAAACAGTGTTGGAGTGAGGAAAAGCCCACGAACATGTTAACAGTTTTTGAGAATCCTGTGAACCTAACATGCTTTTTGGGGCCTTTCTTGTGCTGTTCAACTTAATTTTTTTTCATCCTGCTGCAAAACCCATCAGCTTGGTTTTCATTTTTTTTCATGGCTCTATTGAGATATATTTTACATACCATAAAATTCACCCATTTAAACTATACAGTTCAGTCATCTTTAGAATATTCACAGTCATGCAACCAGCACCAAAATCTAACTTGAGGACATTTTCAACTCCTTAAAAGAAATTTCATTCATGGGGTGCCTGGGTGGCTCAACCAGGGGAGTATGTGACCTCGGCTGCGGTCGCCACCTCTCGGTTTGTGGGTCTGAGCCTGATGCTCAGACTGGGCTGTCAGTGCAGAGCCTGCTTCAGGTCCTCTGTCCCCCTCTCTCTCTGCCCACCCCCTGCTTTTGCGCTCCCTCTTAAACATAAATAAACATTTTTTAAATAAATAAAGAAAATAAAGTATGAAGACTTAAGCCAAAATTGTTATTTAAAAAAAAAAAAAAAGACACTCGCTTCCCGGCCTTTTGGCTAAGATCAAGTGTAGTATCTGTTCTTATCAGTTTAAAAAAAGACATTTCATTCTCATTAGCAGTCACCGTGTTTGTCCCCCACTGCCACCACAGCCCCAGGGCACCGTGAATCTGCCTTGTCACTTGACAGATTGGCCTACGGGAGAGGGGAGCCTCCTCTGGGGCATTACCAATACAATAGCAAACTATTATATAAATCAGCTCCCCAGTTCCAAATTAAAAAAAAAAATGGATTAAAGGATTTGGATAAAGAAGTAGATTCGATTCTTAAATGATGTCCTAAGCACTTATTTTGATTTCAGTTTTGCTCTTCAAAGGATAAAGCTTTAAAGACATTCTGCTTAACTGTTATAATTTCCCACCAAAAAGACATCCTCAGCGTTATTACTCAGCGTGTCTTCTCTGTGTTCTGTCTGGGCATTAAAAAAAAAAAGACTCCTCTGGTCCTATGATGGCCATGGTTGTGCTGGAGAAGATAAGGATGGTGGGAATTTGCATTTACCGGGTGGGTGTTCCATAAAGGTGAGGTCTGGATGCAGCAGAAATGGCCACAATTAGAACCGGGACTCCATAGCCCACAGGGAACATGAGCCTCTTCATGAACCTGTTTACACCAGAGTAGTTGACCACCGTCAGGTTGCGTGCAGTAAGGAAGAGGTGGAGACCCTCCAACAGCATCCAGGTGAAGGAGGCCAGGTAGAGATAGTGTAAGGCACCCGCGATGATGGCGCACAGCACCTGGGGGAGGAGTAAGTAATCATCAGGAGGGACTGTCGGGGAGGAGGGTGGCCCCAGCACCTCTCCCATACCTTGCCAGTGGGAAGAACTCCCATGTATATAAAGGAATTGTCAACAGAAGGTTTATTATCTAGTTGTGTCAATATGAAATAGGCTACTTACTCTTCAAAACTTCCCTGGGACCCAAGACCATTGTATTAAGGTATCAGTGCAATAATGGCGCCATGAACTGAGCACCACCTGTCTCAGGGCGGGGGGATCCTCTGTGACAGTGTCAGTACCTTGATCTTGGTCTGGTTGATGGCCGTGAGGAAGAGCAGGTGGGCCAGGAAGAGGCAGACTGCGAGCTGCAGGTGCAGCGAGGTGCTGGTGTTCTGGATGGCTTTGCACAGCAGGAAGGTGAGGGCTGCCAGGAGGAGGCACAGCAGAGAAAGGACCAGCCCCAGGTAGGTGATCACGACCAGCATTGGATCCTCCTCCTGGGACCCAGCAAAGAGGACATCACAGTCACAGGTCCTAGATCAGTTGACTTTAAGAGGGATATCACCCTGGAGGGGCCTGGCCTAATCAGTGTGCTCTCAAAAGTTCTAGGCTCTTCCTAGAGAAAAATATTCAAAGTTTGAGAGCATTTGAGGTGAGGGAGTTTCTCTTGCTGGTCTGTGGACAGAAATGCTGATACACTGTGTGAGGGCCTGGGGAGAAGGGATGCAGGGAGCCCCTAGGAGCTCAGCAGGGTCCCCTGTTCATCGCTGGAAAGAACGTGGAACCCCAGTCCTACAACTGGACTTTGCAGTCCCTGCAAGGGACTGAATTCTTCCAGCTACCAGGTAGCTCACGGGACGACCCTAAGCCTCAGACAAGAATGCAGCTTTGGCTGACTCCATGGAGTCAGCCTTGTAAGACCCTGAGCAGCAACTCAGCTACACCACACCCGATTCCTGTCCCACAGAAACCGCGAGATACACATTTGTTTCTTTAAAGCTCCTACGTGTGGGGAAACATGTTAGAGAGCGATCGACATGGACTGCGGCCTCCCCAGGGAGCTCACCTGCACGTCGTAGTGGGCCATGAGGACGGCAAAGCTGCTGAGGTGGGTGCATTGGCAGGTGGTGCTGGAGTCCACAATGGCCACAAGCCTGCAGCCTGTGGTGGACCAGTGACCGCATCCAACCTGACAAAGATCCCAAAAGACACAGAGCACCTTGTGCGTTGGCCCAGGGGTCACTGGCTGTATAGGAACAGAGTGTAGGTGGGAGCTGGTGGTCCTGGTGTTCAGAAATGCTCATCCCAAGCTGGTCTGCAAAGGACCCTCCTGGGGGGATGACTCACCCATGGAGGACCCCCCCCCCCAGACACAAAGGGTGATGTGGACAGCGAGGCTGAGCCCCAGACCAGTCCCTTGCACACCCACAGCCCCATTCCATCAGCACTCACATGGTGGGAGAGGATGAAGGTGACGGGGGAGCTGAGGTTCTGGGTGTCCTTGTTGCTTATAAAGGCAGAGATGACATCTGAGAGCAGGACAGGGGAGGCCTCTCCCAGCAAGCCCTTGGGCTCATGCAGGGCTTCCTGCTGCTTGGGCTCCAGGACCAGGGGCGCCTCAGCCAGAAACTTGCCCATCCCTGGAGTGGAGATGAGGCCCACCACAGAAGCACCTGCAGGACAAGCCAGTGTCGATACCTGGGGGTGCCCAAGGGGCCCCTTCTGCCTCAGATGGACCCTTTTGGTGCCACTATGTACCCTACTTCCCCTTAAGCTTCAGGTCCCCGTTTGTCACATCCTTGGGTATCTTGTGACCTTCCTCCCATCTCAGCCGTTACCTGAGTCACTAGATTTATGCACCGCATCCAAGCTCAGCCACATCTTTGCCTGGTTCTGACTCAAGGTGACATTTGTTTCTCCTTGTTCTTGCACCTTCAGGGACAGGTCTGTGAGATGTCAGAGTTAGGTAAGGGAGTTAGCATAGTATTTGTGGTTGTAGTGGTTGGAATGAGACCATTATTGATATTGATATGTGTGTTTACACACACACACACACACACTGAATTTATGAAGGATTATAGGAAAATACTATGAGCAACTGTACACCAAAAATTGGATAACTTAGATAAAATTAACAAATGCCTAGAGACACACAAACTATAAAAGTAACTGAAAAAGGAATAAAGTCCAAACAGACCTATAACAGGCAAAGAGAACTGATCAGTAATCAAAAATTCCCCAAAATGAAAAGCCTCGATGAGATGGCTTTGCTGGTGAATTCTGCCAAACATTTAACTAAGAATGAACAAGAATCCTTTGTAAACTCTTCCAAGAGTAGAAGAGGAAGGAATACTACTTAAGTAATCTTATGAAGTGACCATTACTCTGATTTAAAAAAAAAAAGATAAAGCCATTACAAGAAAATAATAGATCAATATTTCTTATGAACATAGATGTAAAAGAATCTTCAGCAAAGTATTAGGAATAAATTTACCTGAGCTTCAAGACTTTTAACACAGAAGACTACAAAAATATTTTTGAAATAAATGAAAGACCCTTAATAACTAGAAAACATTGTATGTTAGTGGATTAAAAGGCTTAATATTGGGGCACTTGGGTGGCTCAGTCAGTTGAATATCTGATTCTTGATATCAGATCAGGTAGTGATCTCACAGTTCATGAGACTGAGCCCCACATTGGGCTCTACGCTGAGTGTGGCACCTGCTTGGGATTCTCTCTCTCCCTCTCTCTCTCTCTGCCTTTTCCTCTCTCTCTCTTTCTAAGTAAATAAATATTTTTTAAAAAGTTGGGGAGTGGGAGGGAGGCAAACCATGAGAGACTCTTGAATACTGAGAACAATCTGAGGCCTGATGGGGATGGGGGAGAGGGGAAGCGGGGTGATGGGCATGGAGGAGGGCACTTGTTGGGGTGAGCACTGGGTGTTATGTGGAAACCAACGTGACAATAAACTATGAAAGAAAATAATAATAATAATAATAATAATAATAAATAAAAGGCACAATATTTTTAAGATGGAAATATTTCCCAAAAAGATCTACAAATTCAATGCAATCCATACCAATATTCCAAACTTTTCTTTTTTTGGAAATGGAAAAGTGCATCCTAACATTCACAGGACATTGCAAGGAGCCCTAATGCCTAAAACAACCTTGAAATGGAAAAAAAAAAAAAAAGGAGTACTTACACCTCCTGATTTTAAAGCTCACTACTAACCTGCAGTAATCAGAACTGTAGGGTACTGGCATAAAGATAGACATACAGACCTATAAAATAAAATTGGAAGTCCAGAAATAAACCCATACATCTGCGGTCAACTGATTTTCAACAAGGGATGACAAGACTGTTCAATGAAATAAGAAAAGTCTCTTCAGCAACTGGTGTTTGCACATCTGGATCTCCACTTGCAGTAGAAGGGACCCTACCTCACACAACACACAAAGATTAATTCAAAATGGGTCAAAGACCTACATTTATGAGCTAACACTGGAACAGTTAGAAGGAAACACAGGTGTAAATCTTCCCAGCCTTGGATTTGGCAATGGATTCTTAGATAAGACACCAGATGCACACGCAACAAAAGAAAAAACAGAGAAAATGGATTTCATCCAACAGACACATTTGTTTATTAAATTAAAAAGACACTCTGTGGAATGGGAGAAAAAATTAGCAAATTACATGTCTCAGAGAGTCTACTATTAGAACACGTAAAGAACTCTTGCAGTTCAACAACCAAAAGCCAAACAAAACAACCTGACTTAAAAATAGGCAAAGGACACTGAAGTGACTATCAGGAAACAAAATGTAAGTACCAAGTGTTGCTGAGAATATGGATATTGGAACCATTGGGTGTTGCCGATGGGGATGTAAAATGGCACTGCCATTTTGGAAAAATTATTTGGTCATTCCTCCAAAGATGGGCCACAGCATTTCCATATCACTGGGAAATCCCACTCCTATGTCTGTATACATTGAGCAGAAAACAATTATTCAAGCAAAAACTTATCCAGCAATATTCATAGTAATGCGATTCAAAATAGTCAAACACTACTCAAAAAGTCAACAACCTAAATGTCCAACAGTGGGATTCATGGATACACAAAAGGTGCTGTAGGGGCACCGGGGTGGCTCAGTCGGTTGAGCATCCAACTTCAGCTCAGGTCGTGATCTCACGGTCCATGAGTTCGAGCCCCACGTTGGACTTTGTGCTGACAGTTCAGAGCCTGACCCTAACCCTAACCCTGGGGCCTCCTTTGGATTTTGTGTCTCCCTCTCTCTCTGACCCTCTCTTACTCACGCCCTGCCTCTCTCTCTCTCTAATATAAATAAACATTAAAACAAAATTTTAGAAAGGTGCTGTAGCCAAATGATGGACTATTATTCAACCATAAAAAAAGAAAGAAATACTGCCACATGTTACAACATGGATGCACCTTGAAAACATGATGATTCTATAGATATGAAATGTCCAGAATAGGGGAACCCGTAGAGACAGAAAACAGACTGCTGGCTTTGAGTAGCTGGGGGAGGGAGAGATGAAAAGTGACCGGTTAGTGGGCACACTATTTACTTTTAGGGTGATGAAAATATTTTAGAAATGCAGGTGAGGGCTGTACAGCTCCCAGTGTACTAAGCCCCCACTGAATTGTACAGTTTGTTTAAAATCGTGGTGAACTGAAATACCAAATAACATAAAATTTACATTCTTTAAAATTTAATAAATTGTCTTCTCTTGACAATGCTTCCATTTTGTTAGCCTGAATTCTTCATTGTAAGTATTTTGTCTGGGGCACCTGGGTGGCTCAGTTGGTTAAGTGTCTGGCTTCCAGTTCAGGTCATGATTTCACGGTTTGTGGGTTCGAGCCCCGCGTCGGGCTCTGTGCTAACAGCTAGCTCAGAACCTGGAGCCTGCTTTGGATTCCGTATTTCCCTCTCTCTCTGGCCCTCCCCTGCTCACGCTGTCTCTCTCTCTCTCAGAAATAAATATAACATTAAAAAAATTATTTCATCTGCTGATAATTTATATTACAATGAAAATGTATATGGTTTACAGTTTTATTCATTTCTTTTTAAACTTTTAATCGGTTTATGGAGTGTCACACTTTGGGTTTTTTTTTTAATTCATAGTTACTTTTTATTCATGTGAAATTTCTTTTTTTATTTTTTAAAAAATTTTTAATAGTTTATTGTCATGTTGGTTTCCATACAACACCCAGTGCTCATCCCAAGTGCCCTCCTCCATGCCCACCACCCCCTTCCCCTCTCCCCCATACCCATCAGTCCTCAGTTTGTTCTCAACATTCAAGAGTCTCTCATGGTTTGCCTCCCTCCCTCTCCCCCTGTTCCCCCCCTTCTTCTCCCCCATGGTCCTCCGTTAAGTTCCTCCTAATCCTCCTATACATGCAAACATATGGTATCTGTCCTTCTCTGCCTGACTTATTTCGCTCAGCCTAACACCCTCAAGGTCCACCCATGTTGCTACACATGGCCAGATGTCATTCTTTCTCATTGCCAAGTAGTATTTCATTGTATAGATAAACCACATCTTCTTGATTCATTTATCAGTTGATGGACACTTAGGCTCTTTCCATGTTTTGGCTATTGTTGAGAGCGCTGCTATGAACATTGGGGTACATGTGCCCCTATGCATCAGCACTCCTGTGTCCCTTGGGTAAATTCCTAGCAGTGCTATTGCTGGGTCATAGGGGAGTTGTATCATTAATTTTTTGAGGAACCTCCACACTGTTTTCCAGAGGGGCTGCACCAGTTTACATTCCCACCAACAGTGTAGGAGGGTGCCCGTTTCTCCACATCCTCGCCACACTTTGATACACGCGTGGTCACTGGCTCCAGTGAGGCTGGGGGACAAACGAGGTGGGGGAAGGCAGAGCAGGAGCCTGGGGAAGACCCCAGTACTTACCTGTGCCTGCAGATGCACTGAAGGTCAATGGCCCATTGGGAAGGGCCTGGCTTACGTCTCTCAGGACGTTCTCCAGGCCTACGAGCAGGTTCGTGGCCACACAGCGCTGCTCTGAGGGGGACAGAGCCTCCAGGTCATCCGGGGCCTGCAGCAACTCATCCACCCCCTGTATGAGGTCCTGGGAGAGTGGGTGGTGAGAAAAGAGACTGGGTGAGCCATGAAGACCCCTCCCACTCAGCCCCGGAGAATAGCCCCTAGAAACTGGTAGATAAAAGTGGTCCTAGATCTGATTCCCTGGGTCTCTACCCCAGGAATCCAGCACTCATGGTCAACCCTATTCACAAATGCCAAGATGACATAAGCCCGCTGTCCAGAAACAGCAAGAGAAAAGTCACTTGTGGGTGCAGACGGGTGCCCATCGATTATGGGCACTGGCGTGCCTGCTCTCCCACCCACCGTGGGAGAGGCAGGGGTCTCAGAGAAGTTGCCATTGTGACGGGGCTGCCTCCTTCCAGGCCTCGATGGGGTGCCTGGGTTCTTTTTCTTCTCCTGGGTTGTGCTCTTACCTGGATGGTGCCCTGAGCCAAGGCTGGCTTGAAGTCTCTGCGCAGAGCTTGGATTTTTTCAAAGAAGCTGGTGAGTGTCTGGGAAGAGGAGACGAGGCAGGTCAGAGGGACTCGTGGGGGGGGGGGAGGGGGGAAATTGGGGGAACCAGGCGGGTTGTGTGGAGGGATCCCTGCCTCCCGGTCCCTGCTGGGGCCACTCACCTGGCTCTGGATTCCAGGGGGTGGGGTCCAGGGGGGGAAGGCCATCTCTGCAGGGGATAGAACAGCCGTTTATTAGGTGTGCGAGTGTCTGCGGTGGGGAGGGTGGGATGGTGTCTGGGGTCAGCTCAGACCAGGTACCTTGACAGGTAGTGTTTGGCTGCATATTCTGGAATCCGGGTTTGAGCTCCCAGCCACGGCGGCAGCGGCACCTGTATGAGCCCAGAGTGTTGACGCAGACGGTGGAGTTGTGGCATGCAGGCTGTCCAGGGCGGCACTCGTCCACATCTGGGGACACAAAGGGGGGAGTCAGGCCCCCTCCTTCCGTATCCCACCTGCTTTTTCCCCATATTAGTACCTCCCACCTTGGCTGGAGGTGACGTCACCTGTTGACCCCCACATCCTGGTGATGCAGGAGTTACAGGAAATGCGGCAAGGCCTGACACCTAGCACGTGAGCCCTGTACAGATGTGCAGGTTGTGAAATACTGAAATCCCAGTGAGTAATTAGTGGCCACCGGGGTCTCCAAGGAGCCTACTCCTCAGTACCCCAGCTTCTTCCTCGAGACCCCCACTAGACTTTTTCCCATCGAGCCTCAAAAGAATTAACGCCTGGTGCAGCAGGGTGCCGCCAGCATTCATTTGGCTTGGTTTGTGTGGGTGCCACTGAATATGCGATCAGGGGTTCTGAGTGTGGGTCTCCAGGACGTGGCATCTGAGTTCTGGACCTTCACAGATGGTGTTGTTTGGGCCATTGGGGGACCCGGGAATGGGCTTCCAGCCGGGGCGGCAGCGGCACTCATAGCTCCCCATGGTGTTGAGGCAGTGGGTGGTGCGGTGGCACGGGCTTTGCCCCGAGGTACATTCATTCACGTCTGAGGACAAAGCCAGAGGGTCAGGGTCCCCTCCACTGGCTGCACCCACTTCTCACTGCCCAGCATCAGGGACCCTTGCTGTTATTGCACGTGCTGCCACCTGGCGACCTTCGACTTCGATCTCAGTGCACCCTATGATGGTCTCCCTGCAAGATGGGCATGGCAGGGACCATGGTCCTCAGTTCATAGGCTGTGAAACCAGGAGGGAAACTGAGTCATAGGGACTGGACTCTCTTTCCAAGGGCTGTCGGCTACTCCCTCCCCAGCTCTGGCCCAGCCTCCTTTCCAGGGACTGGAAGTGACACCTCCCCCTGCTCCCATGCGGCAGATGAGGAAGGGGCGAGACCAGGGGATGCTCACAGAGGCCGGGGGGCCCCACGAGGGAACCCCAGGCCCAGAAGGCCCTGCTACCTCCCCGCTCTGTGGTGGACCTTGTGGGGAGGCAGATCCTTGGGCAGAGCAAACCCCTAGCGTCTCAGGAACCCAAGGGTCTTCTCCCTCCTCCTCGGGCTCCTCGGGCTCCTCTGCCTTGGCCCCTCCCAGCTCCAGCGCAGCCTCACAGCGTCTTCCGGGGCCTCTACCTGAGCACGTGTTCGGGTCTGTCTTGTCGTGCTTAAAGCCGGGTGGGCATCTGCAGGTGTAGCCGCCCTGGGTGTTGACGCAGATGGTGCGGCCTTTGCAGATTCTGGGTCTCCGCTGACATTCGTCCACGTCTGCAGGGGGAAGGGGAGGGTGTTGGATGCCTGCCTGCAGCTGTTTCCTGGGATAGAAGCATCTGGAAGGCCCCGCTCTCTCCTCCTCAGCGAGCGGGTGCCTTTTCTAATCCACACGGGGGCGTCCTGCGGGCGAAGCGTGGTGGCCCGGATGTTCGGTTGTCCAAGTGTGGCAGGAAGCAGTCTGAGCCCTCCCCGTCTGCCTCTCCGGGTGGCTCGCAGCTGGGCCGGGGACACATGACCCCCTGTGTCCCAGCCCGAGGAGGCAGACGGGCCCAGGGTGGGCTTTCCTGGGAGCTGAGAGCCAGGGAGGTGCCGCACACCTGACCAGGACCTGCCGAGGCTCCCGGCGATGGCCTGGTCCTGACTCCGCCGGGGTGGCCGCTTGCTGGCCGAGTCCCCCTAGGAGCCCCGGTGGCCCGCGCGGGACAGCACGCTCCCCTCCACACTAACTCTGAGACTCTGGCTCCATGGACCCGTCCCACACCCAAGCCGGGCCTTTAAAGACAAGGCTTCTGGGCGGGGGCGGCAGGGAGAGGAAGGATGGTGGCCGGGGGGCTGGGGCCCCCGGACGGTGGGTGCCGGGCTGGCGTGGACAGTTGCTGGTGTCCAGCCAGGCAGCCTCGGGGCAGCGACGCTGCATATTTCTGATTCCCGTGAAGCCGTTCCCTGGACTGGCAGGAAGTGGCGAGAATCCACATCTGGGTGAGGCCAGCTGCGGGCGAGGGCTGGGTGGCGGGGGGAGGGGCGCGGGTGCCCATGGGTGAGGGATGGCAGATGCCTCTGTCTTCTCAGCCCTTGGCCTCCCCCCAGGGAGGCAGATGCTGGGCCAGCTGAACGGGGCTCAGCCTCCGTGTCCTGCCCCCCGGGAGAGGGCTGGGGCGGGGGTCCTGGATGACCGTCTCTCTTGTCATCCGGTCCAGACAGGGAGCCTCTTGGGTCGCCTCACTGTCCAAGTGTGCAAGTGGCCGGGGGTGAGGGGTGTCACCTGGCCCACCCCGGACACAGCATCGTCCGGGTCCTGGTCATCGGCTGCCTCGAGGCCCCTGAGCCGAAGTTACGGGGGAGGGTCGGAACAGAGCATCACGCAGGGAAATAGAGGCAGGTTGAGCAGCGAGAAGGGGGCTTCAGGGCACCGGGAGGGGCCTTCTCCAGGCAGGATGCGGGCCAGGCCAGGGCTGGCCGGGGGCCTGCTCTCAAGTCTCCATCCTCCCGCCTCCCAGATGGGGTCTCTGGGCCCGTCATGGCCGAGGGTCTGAGAGGCCGCCTGGTAAGGCCACGCCCACGGGGCTGGTCCGGGAAGGTACCGATGGTGGCAACGAGGACGGGGCTCCCACAGGAACGCACCTCCAGCCAAGTATCTTGGATGCCACGCGCCTCTTGTTTTATGCAGATAAGATGCCAGGGAGGGAGGTGGGGGGGTACGTTCCCAACATCCAGAAGTGACCCTCCGTGGAGGGTTCTGAGCCCGGGCTTCGAGGAGGCGCGGGACACTAGGCAGGCGGCAAGGACCTGCTTTGATGCCTGGGGAGGGCGGGGCAAGGGGCCTCCGAGCGGCGGGTCGCACCGCCCGACATGGGTGACGTGTCCTTGGCTGTGACAGGAGCCTTCACAGAGCCAGGTCTTCAGGTGGCAGGCCCTGGGCCTAACCAGCGGAGACTGTCCCCTCCCCGTCACCCAGCTGGAGGTCCATGGAGGTCCCTCTCCTGTCTCTTCCTCTGTGTCCACCCAGCCGCCAATGGAGTCCCTTCCTCTTCCCTGGCCTGTTGTAACATGGCGACGCCGCTCCTGGATGACCACAAGCACCACAACAGCGGGGTGGGGTGGGGTGGGGGTTGGCATACCCAGTCCAAGCACGCTGAGTGGGATCCACGCTCATCATGTGCAGTTGCGCAGGCTGCTCGCTGCACAAGGGCCTCCGGCCCCAGGAGGCAAGTGGGAGTGGACCCAGCCTCAAACGTGCTATGTTCACATGGAAGTGAGGGACCTTCTTCCATTTCACGCGAAGGCTCTGTCCTCTGCTGCAGGGGAGGAGGGGGCCGGGACCAAGGCCATGGGCTCTTCTCTCCACCACAGGGGGGAGCCTGGGAACCTTCCTTAGAGTCCTCTGGACCCTCAGCTCTGCCCCGTCCTCACCTCACCTCTGCCTTCCCCTCTTCTCTCTGTATCTGCACTAACCCCCTCTCGCTGGGCAAGCTGTGGCTCCTGCTTACCCACTGCTGCCCCCCCCAACCCCTGTGGACACCCAAAGCCCCTTCCGCTGCCTGCTGTTCTCCCTGGAAGGGGGGCAAAGCCTGGTGCCGCGCAGAGGCTGGCCTCCGGGCCTAAACGGTGGCATCACTGCGGCAAGAGATGCGACTGCAGTAGGTGTGGGCTGGAGCGGCTGCACTCAGTGCCCACCCTGGGCGACAGGCCCTGGGGATGCCCGCAATTCTGTGAGGTAAGCACCACTGTCACCCCCTTTTTTACAGATGGGTGAACTGAGGCACAGAAGCAAAATCCCTTGCCCAAGGTCACACAGTTAACAAAAGGCAAAGGCGCTTTTGTTTTTATCTGTAAAAACTAGAGACGCTTTGTCTTTTTAACACAAAAGCACAATAATACCACCGCTGGCACATGAACGGTGATTTCTGCATGAGTATCCTGGCCAGCGTCACACACACAGCTATCAAGAGGCAAAGCCTGGGTCCAGGCCCTTGTCTCTCCCGCTGCCCTGCCTTTCTGTGCCGGTGGCCCAGGAACAGACAGACCTGTCCTGACTCATCCTGCCTCTGGGGATGCTTTAGCAATGGCTCTGGTGACCCCCAACCTCATGGATGGGGAGACGGAAGGCGTGGGCTACTTCTTACCTTGACACGTGTTCTCACTTTCACTCTTGAAAGTTTTTGCCCCAGAAGCAAGCTCGTACCCGGGGCTGCATTCGCAGTGGTAGCTCCCTTCTGTGTTCTGGCAGTCGGCAAAATTTCCACAGGACACCGCCAAGGGTGGTGCACACTCATTGATGTCTGGAACACAACAGGGCAAAGGGTCACCAGCCAAAAGTGTGAGTTCCCACAGGGCAGAGGCCCTGGCCTCCAGTCCTACTCTGCTGTGGGGCCTAGAAAGAACTCAGTTCACAGTTCTTTGGACTGCATGAGCCAGCTTCCCCGGAAAGCCTCCTGACTGCTCTGCCCATCTCTGCTCTCTGGCTGGGCCTGAGGGCCCCTAGAATCAGACACTCTGCTGTGCCATGATGGGGGCTGGAAGGAGGTCTGCATCCCCTTCTGCAGGTCTTGTGGGGCAGATGGAGGCACTGACTCAGGCTCCAGACTCTCTCTTGTGAAACTGTTTGCACCACTGGGAAGCTGGGGGAGGGCTCCAGTCAGAGGGACGGTGGCACTGGAGGTCACTCTCAATGCTGACAATGGAGAGAGTCATGGCTGGGTGACACTCACCACTCATACTTGAGGATAAAGCCAGGTGGTCAGCCCCTGCCCATTGACAGCTTCCACCTCCCATTACTCGCAGTGACCCAAGTGCACCTCACAGTGCTCATCCCCCACACCCCCAGCTCTGCTGTCAGACATTTTCAAGATGCTCCAAGATGCCTCTAGAAGAATTTTACTATCTGCAACACTGGAAGAAGTTCCCCTTATCAGAGTCTACCGCAGACACAAAATGAGGAAGCAACATGCCAAGCTCTCACAGCTGCATGGTTCCTGGCTTCCTATCTCTCTTCCTGTTCTCTAAACATGAGAGGAAAGACACCATGAGCCTGGCCCCCTCTGAGTAGCTCAGGGACCCACAGAGCAAGAGCTGGACACCATCAGCTGTCAACAACTTCAACAACTTAGTAAGATGAATCAAAACGCAGGGACAGAATGTTTGGTCCTGAACATCCCAATCAGGGCACCAAAGACTTTTAGAGCCCAAAAGGGCTCATGACATCGTGATGAGTGGGGACGGGCAACTGGTCTCCCCCAGAGCAGAGCTTCCTACCTGAGCTCATGGACTTCCCTTCTGAGGGCCCAGGCCCAGGCTGTGGGTGCCAGCACCAGGACGTGACTCTCGAATGCTGAGAACAATCTGAGGGCTGATGGGGGTGGGGGAGAGGGGAAGGGGGTCATGGGCATGGGGGAGGGCACTGTTGGGATGAGCACTGGGTGTTATATGGAAACCAATTTGAGAATAAACTATTTAATAAATAAATAAATAATAATTAATTAATTAAAAAAAAAAAACAACAAGTAGCTCTGCTTCCTCATGGCCTGCTGTGAACAGTGAGGCGGGAAACCATGACCTTGATGGGTCAGGAGTTTCTGGTGAGCTCATGCCAGGAGAAGAGCCTGGCTTCCAAGTCCTGTGTTTATTTCCTCCTCCTGCTTCCACTGTTTCTCCCCTTTCTTTGTGCAATGAGAATGATCATATAGTAATAACAGCAGTAGCCATGATAAGAGCTTGTGTTGATGGTCGGCTCTGTTCTAGACTTTACCTGTTCTTCACACAAGCAAATTTTAAATCTCACTCCATCCATATGGGGTAGGTACAACGATGATCCCCAATTTATAGACAAGCAAACTGAGACATGGAGAAGAGAACGTCTTCCCCCTACCACCTGCCCCAACGTTCTCCATGCCCCCCCCCCGCCCCTCCAAGCCCCTGTACCGTCACAATTCTCTAAGAGGTTGGTGAAGATCTCCCCAGAAGAAGAAGAGAACCCCGGAGAGCAGCGACAGGCCGTGGCGTTGACACATTTGGAGTTCAGAGGGCACCACCGGGCACAGTCTATGGGGGCAGAGGGTGTGAGGACAGAGAACACAGTCTCAAGCCTTAAGAAATGGAGGGAGCCAGCTGCCAGTTGGGGGTGAGGAGCAGAGGAAGAGAGGTGGAGGAAGGAAAGGAATGACTGCCATTGGAAGAAGAAAACACAGCAAACTCTGAACATTTGTGGAAGCAGAAACAGTTTCTCTTATCTCCAGAAGACCAGAGCCTCACTTGAAAAATATGCCCCCCTTTCCCTGCTTGTCGGTGAGGGGACCCAGACCTCATCATGCACTCCCCCGTTTGTGTCACCCACGTGGCTGGCTGGGCAGACTCACCACTAGGCTTCTGAGTGGCCGCTCCCAATAGCAACAGCATCTGTATCAAGAGTCCTGGGGCAGAAAACACAGAAATGACAAAGAGGAGAGAGTGGAGCTCCAGTTTCAACCGTTGTGCACATGGTCATTGCTCCTGGGAGGTGGCCCTGATGCTACAGTCCCTGGCTCTCCCAAGCCTCTTGTAATTTATGAAGATTTGAGAACCAATTCTTTTCCTTCCATCTCCCTGGACTCTCTGAGGAGTCCATCACTAACAGACACTGTCCTCATGGAGACTCAGTGCTACAGGTAAGGGGACAAAGTATACACAGGTGATGTCAGGGATACAACATAGAAATTCCAACCTTTCCCAGTGGAGGGGGTGAATCTTGAAGCACAAAGTCCTCAGATTGGCCAGGGTCTATGTTCTCTGACAATGGCAGAAATCTGCCCTGAGAATTCCTCTTCCAGGATCACTGTCCCCTCTTCTACATACATGTTTTGGGGCACACGAGAAGAGCATGGATTTGGGGGTCAGAAAGCCCCAAGTGTGAGCCCTCACAGTGAGCCCTGTGTCACTCCTCACAGGGAGCCCTGGCGTCAAGAGAGGGGGAGCTGATGACAGGTGAGGAGTGACAACTAAGAGCACCGGCAGGTAGAGCCGACATCTCTTGGTTAAGTGACCTCTCCAGGTGCAGTGCCAGGAGTGATGGCTCACTGGACAGGCTCTGTGGTATGAAAAGGACTCCAGGTGCAAAGGAATCTACCCTATAGGCAATCACTGGGCCACCTGTTCGAGTCTGTCCTTCCATTCATGGGAGGCATGATGTTGCTGGGAAGGTGTTGGTTCCTTTTTTTTTTTTTTTAAATGAGATTAACAGTGAAATCAGTAGACTCTGATTAAAGCAGATTACTTTCTTCGCAAAGAAGAAGTCACACCTTCACTTTTTGCAGATGACATGATACTCTACATGGAAAACCCAAAAGATTCCACCAAAAACCTGCTAGAGCTGATACAGGAATTCAGCAAAGTCACAGGATATAAAATCAATGTACAGAAATTGGTTGCATTTCTATACACCAATAATGAAACAACAGAAAGAGAAATCAAGGAATCAATCCCATTTACAATTGCACCAAGAATCATAAAATACCTAGGAGTAAGCCTAACCAAAATGGTAAAAGATCTGTATGCTGAAAACTTATGAAAGAAATTGAAGAAGACACAAAGAAATGGAAAACATTCCACACTCATGGATTGGTGCCGGGAGCCGCACTGGCCTCTCTGGATGGCAGTCACGGCAAGAAAATGGCAATGTTTGCACAGCTCCTGCCATGAGAAACAAAACTGGTATCTCCTTCTGCTACTACTGGCTCATGCCGGAAATAAGCCTGCTGGTATTGACCAGGCCTCACAATATTCCATATCAGACCCATATTCTGAACACAGATACCTCATAAGGAAAAGCATATTCCTGCCTTTACAAACGAGATTTTAGATAAAGCTCTATGGATCATTATCAAAAGGCTCTTCCTATGGGCTTTGCAGATCCAAGACTTAGATAATAAAGGGGGTTAAGAACACAAGAGTTACTATTGAGTCTGGTCCCATGTCAGAAGAACCTAATTTATAGTTAAGGTACAAATAAGGGCAGAACATAACTTACTAACTGGTGATGTATGGCAGTCCCTTCCTCAAGGCCTACATTCCACAAACATCCTCCCTTACACAGGCAGCTGGGATGAGGATAGATAAGAGTAATTAAAACATAAACTCAGATACAAAGACTGATACATATAGAGCCCCCTTGGTAGTTTCCACAAACAAACCAATTCAGAATCATTCATCCTCTTGAGAGCCAGACAGAATGACTCCTAGCTTATCTATGTACAATTTAACCTATATGTTATCCTGTTTTTCACTAAGAGCGTCCTGTTATTTCCTTGGTCATAAATTCACTATGGCTGGGATAATTCTGCAATTGATATCACAAAAGGCCACTCATTGTAAGAAATTCCTTTTCTCTGACCTCATATTATTGTTGAACCTTTAAATAAAGACACGAAAACTGACGGGACAGAGATGCCTGCCTGGTGATCAGAAAGAATCTCGGGGCTCTCTCACTCTCTCTCTCTCTCGCCGACACCGTCCATCCTTCGGGGACCCCTGGACCTGCCAGAGCCGGCCTCCGGCAGATTGGAAGAACAAATATTGTTAAAATGTCAATAATACCCAAAGCTATCTACACATTCAATGAAATCCCAATCAAAATTACACCAGCATTCTTCTCAGAGCTAGAACAAACTATCCTAAAATTTGTATGGAACCACAAAAGACCCTGAATAGCCAAAGTAATATTGAAGAACAAAACCAAAATGAGAGGAGAGGCATCACAATCCCAACTTTAGCCTCTACTACAAAGCTGTAATCATCAAATAGTATGGCATTGGCACAAAAACAGGCACATAGACCAATGGAATAGAATATAGAACCTAGAATTGGACCCACAAATGTATGGCCAATTAATCTTTGATGATGGAAAAAACATAGTCTCATTAGCAAATGGTGCTGGGAGAACTAGACAGCAACTGGAATGAAGAATGCAGAAGAATGAAACTGGACCATGTTTCTTACACCATACACAAAAATAAACTCAAAATGGATGAAAGACCTAAATGTGAGACATCAAAACCCTAGAGAGGAAAACAGGCAACAACCTCTTTGACCTCAGCCACAACAACTTCTTACTCAACACGTCTCTGATGGAAAGGGAAATAAAAGAAAAAATGAACTATTGGGACCTCATCAAGATAAAAAAAAATACTTCCGCACAGTGAAGGACACAATCAGCAGAACTTAAAAGGCAACAGATGGAATGGAAGAAGATATTTGCCAATGACATATCGGATAAAGGGTTAGTATCCAAAATCTATAAAGAACTTACCAAAGTCAACACCCCAAAAACAAACAATCCAGTGAAGTAATAGGCAGAAGACGTAAATAGACACTTTTAGAAAGAAGATATCCAGATGGCTAACAGACACGTGAAAAGAGGCTCATTATCACTCATCATCAGGGAGATACAAATCAAAACCACATTGAGATACTACCTCACACCGGTCAGAGTGGCTAAAATTAACAACTCAGGAAACAACAGACGTTGGCAAGGATGTGGGGAAACGGAAACCTCTTGCACTGTTGGTGGGAATGCAAACTAGTACAGCCCCTCTGGAAAACAGTTTGGAGGTTCCCCAAAAAAATTAAAAATAGAACTACCCTACAACCTAGCAGTGGCACCACTAGGAATTTATCCAAAGGATACAGGACCACTGATTCATAGGGGCACATGTACCCCAATGTTTACAGCAGCACCATCAACAACAGTCAAATTATGGACAGAGCCCAAATGTCCGTCAACAGATGAATGGACAGGGAAGATGTGGTTTATATATACAATGGAATACTTCTTGGCAATGAGAAAGAATGGAATCTTGCCATTTGCAACAATGTGGATGGAACTGGAGGGTATTTATTATGCTAAGTGAAATCAATCAGTCAGAGAAAGACAGATATCATATGTTTTCATTCATATGAAACTTAACAGAAGACCATGGGAGAAGGGAAGGGGGAAAAATAGTTTCAAACAGAGAGGGAGGCAAACATAAGAGATTCTTACATACAGACAACAAACTGAGGGTTGATAGGGTGGGGGGACGGGGAAATGGGTAATGGGCATTGAGGAGGGCACATGTTGGGATGAGCACTGGGTGTCATATGTAAGCAATGAATCATGGGAATCTACTCCTGAAGCCAGGAGCACACTGTACACACTGTATGTTAGCTAACTTGACAATAAATTATATTTGAAAAGTAAATAAAATAAAAACAAAGCAGATTATTTTTCATAATCTGGGTGGGCCTCATCAGCTGAAGACCTTACGAGAAAAAAAAGGCTGACCCCTCCTAGGAAGAGCGAATTCTGCTTCCAGACTGACTTTGGACTTGACATATAACATCAACGTCCCTGAAAATATCCCTGGGTTTCCCATCTGCCCTACTGACTCTGGACGTTCCAACCTCAAAAATCTCATAAACTAATTTCTTAAACTAGAACATGCTCTCTTCTCTCTCTCTCTCTCTCTCCCTATATATATATATATATATAGGAAGAGAGAGAGAGACACACACACACACACACACATGTACATCTCTGTCATACATGTGCATATACTTGTATACATATACAGAAACTACTATTTCTGTTTCTCTGGAGAACCTGGTCTAATACAGGCCATAAAATGAGAAAGCTCTGAAAAGTCCCCCAGTCTGCCCTAGAAATATGTGTCACCAACTTTCTTCTTTGAGAAATTAATTGAGCTAATACCATTCTTAAAAATCCCTCCCCTGCTCTCCCTTACAAAGACAGTGGGAAAATCAGAAAGAGAGCAAAACCCAGAAATAAAGCGAACAGAGAAAATTATCAGCCTGGATAGCGCTCCCAGATAGTTTTAGTGGCCTCTCCCCACTGTTATAACTCTACCTACCCGGAAACACACTCAGATGCCCGTTTCTCATGGTGCAGACACAAGTAAGCCCAGCCAGAGAGAATGCTGCCTGGTTTTGGGGTGTTTGTGGGGGTGGGGGAGGTGCTAAAAAGACTTCCTGTTTTAAGTCTGACTTCAAATAGACACTCGTCATTGGATGAACTTAGATGAAACAGCAAACTGATAGTGTGGATGTCCCCCCGGCCCGATATTCCCCTGTGATGACCATCTCTGAAACTCACACTTGCATTTTTAAGTATTTGCTCAGCCTTTCCAGTGTTTGTCCTGAAAGCCTCTTTGATGGTTTTTATATATTTTTGATATAAGAAGACCTCCCAAAGACGAAGAATCATTCTACTGGCTTTTCTGGCCCCTCTGAGGACAGTGGTTCGTAGTGAACAGACTTTTTACATCTATTTATTATCTACTTGTGTGCTTCTTTATTTTTAAGTTTTTATTTTGGAATAAATGTCGATTGACAGGAAGTTTCCAAATCAATATGGAGAAGTCCTTCCCCCTCGTTTCCTGCAAAAGATACATTTTTATGTATTTATGTATTTTTCTGTAACTGTCATCAAATATCTAAACCAAGAAATTACAGCGGTACAATGCACATGTATAGTTCTGTGACATTGTGTTACTTGGGCAGGTTCCCGTAATTATCACTACGATAAAGATACATAAGGGGCGCCTGGGTGGCTCAGTCGGTTGGGCGGCCGACTTCGGCTCAGGTCATGATCTCACGGGTTGTGGGTTCGAACCCTGCGTCAGTCTCTGTGCTGACAGCCAGCTCAGAGCCTTAGAGCCTGCTTCAGATTCTGTGTCTCCCTCTCTCTCTGACCCTCCCCTGCTCACACTGTCTCTCTATCTCTCTCAAAAATAAATTAAAAACGTTAAAAAAAAAACTTTAAAAAAATACACAAATATCCTGTCACCCTCGTACGACCCCAATATCCCTAATTCCTGGCTGGTCTAGAACTAAAGTGTTGCAATTCTCAACAGTCTTAGATTAATACATATTGATAAAGGAAAATATTCCCTTTTTTAATGTTTTATTTATTTCTGAGAGAGAGAGAGAGTGAGCAGGGGAAGGTCAGAGAGAGAGGGAGGCACAGAATCTGAAACAGGCTCCAGGCTCTGAGCTGTCAGCACAGAGCCCAACATGGGGCTCGAACCCATGAACCATGAGATCATGGCCTGAGCCGAAGTCGGATGTTCAACTGACTGAGCCACCCAGGCGCCCCAAGGAAAATATTCCTGATATGTTTTATTTTTATTTTTTTTAATGTTTTTATTTATTTCTAGGAGAGAAAGACAGCATGAGCAGGGGAGGGTCAGAGAGAGAGGGAGTCACAGACTCTGAAACAGGCTCCAGGCTCTGAGCTGGCAGTCAGCACAGAGCCTGACGCGGGGCTCGAACCCACGAACCACGAGATCATGACCTAAGCGAAAGTCGGACGCTTAACCGACTAAGCCACCCAGGCGCCCCTCCTGATATGTTTTAAAGGATGAGGAAAACGTCCCCAAACATTCCACTCGTCTGTGGGGGGGATTTTATGGTGAGATTCTTTGTTTGGATTGTTTCCATTTCCTTTGTTTTCTACCTGCCCACGTCTGCTAGCACTGCCATAAAAACACAGTATCAGCTGGATGACTGAAACCACAGAAATCTGTTTTCTCAGGTCTGGAGGTTGGATTCCAAGATGAAGGTGCTGAGGGGGTTGGTTTCTCTCTCAGCTTGTAGATGGCCACCTTCTCCCTGTGTCCGCATCAGACCTTTCCTTGTGTGTGGAGAGGGAGAGGGGAGGGGAGGGAAAGGGTGGAGGAAAGGAGGGAGAGAGAGAGAGAACACTGGTATCTTCTAGTTCCAAAGCCGGAGAGCTCTGCTCTCTGCATCCCTTGGCCATGGGATGCAAGCCCTGCCTTGTCCGCCTTCACTTTTCGTTCAGCCTGTGCTCCCTTCACAAACTGCTTCTCAATCTTGGATGTGCCCGTCCACCGCCATCAAGCTTCGACCCATTGTGGAAATGTTGCAGGTCTCCTCAGACGGACATATGAGTCAGGATAATGGCAGCAAGGAGAGTCACTGAAAAATCTGGAGGAAGAAGGGCACCTCCAGCCACAGACGCTGTGGGGATGGAGACCGTGGTCAGAAGCCCCAGGGAACGGAGGGTGCCTGCTGCCAGCCTGGGGACCAGAGAGTGGAGGAGAGGAGGGTTGGATGCCGGTGGAGGAGGGAGAAATTCTAGGCATTTGAAGAGGAAGAAACAGTTTCTCTTATGTCCAGAGGAAGACCATTTCTGAGGCTCATTCACAGAAGAAGCCTCTTCTCCTCCACTCCCCCTTCTCAGTGAAGGAGCCCAGCCCCCCGGGCTGGCATACACTCTGTCACTAATGGGGTCAGTTGCGTAGGCTCACCTCCAGGGCTCATGGCCACAGCTCTCAAAGGCAACCGGAGCAGCACTGGGGTAGGGTCCTCTCCCTAAGGAGAGAAAAAAAGAGAGAGAGAGAGAGAGAAAAAAACAAACAAACTTCAAGGTAACCTGGCTATGCGTCTGCATGACAGCAACCCATGACCTTGTAAACTGAGACCATTTAATCAGACGACATGTTTGTCTGTTACCATATGGGAGACAAAGAAGTAAAAATATATGAAAAGCTATGCCACGTGGCATTTGGGGCTCAGTTCTTCGGGTACCAACCCAACTGAGGGGTGCCGGCAGGAATAAAGTTGCTTCCTGGAAAGAAGAGCCTCAGTATCATGACTCTCTGTGCAAGATTCCTGCTACATTACTTGGGGGCTCGTCTGGGATTCAGAGACGGTGCGTTTTCACCTCCTTTGCCACCAGGGATATGAACCTCAGGATGCCAGGAGGGGCGGCCTCGCCTGGCGCCAGCAGACCGCTTGATCCCCGGGAGACTAGCCCTCCCGGCAGGTGTGCTGGGCGAGCACCTGATGTGCGCCAACGGAACCCATGAGGCCCAGGAACCAGCTCGGGGAGCACCGCCTGTCAGACTGGTAAGAACCCAGGTTTCTTTTTGGCAGACGTGCCCCTAAGAGGCAGGAGGGGAGCCTGGTCACCTCCCAGAGTTGCCCTCGTAGTTCCACAAGGGTTGAGGAATAAAGCTGCAACTCTAAGGTGTTGGCTGCTGGGCCCCGGATGGCAGGTTGGAGTCACCATGTGACTGTGCATGGGGACTTGTCTCTCCTTCATTTCCTGGGTCAGTGACTCTGATAATTAGAGCCAACTGTCTCTGGTTATTCTACCTCAGAACAGGGACTTTAAGGAATATTCCCAAGCAGCTGCTGAAATTCCTTTTGTTTCAGGGAAATTCCCTGTCCTCTCTGGACTGACATGGGCCACCTAATTCTGCTGGTAGAAGACAAAACAAAAGAAACCTGGAGTCTGCTCCTCTGTCTGAGCTGAGGAGATTTAAAACTGGGAATTCTCGGGGCGCCTGGGTGGCTTAGTCGGTTAAGCGTCCGACTTTCACTCAGGTCATGATCTCGCGGTTCGTGGGTTCGAGCCCCGCGTCGGGCTCTGTGCTGACTGCCAGCTCAGAGCCTGGAGTCTGTTTCTGAGTCTGTGTCTCCCTCTCTCTCTGACCCTCCCCTGCTCACGCTGTCTTCCTCTCTCCTAGAAATAAATAAAAAACATTAAAAATTAAAAAAAAAAAAAAAGAAAAAAGAAAAAGGCAGGGGAATGGACCTTGACTTTGGCCCTTTAACCCCCTCCCTCAACGGCCAATGATCAAGAAGTTAAGTAAGTTACTGTTGGGGCAAAATAAAATCAGTGCATCCTGCGACAACCAGGAAGGTCTTGCTTGGTCACAGTCCTACCTCCAAGGTCCTACAGGTGGGAAACGGAGGGGTAAGAAAAACACAGGAAAGACCAGGCCAGCTCTCAGAGGTAGGGTCAGGCCTGGGTAAGAATGACTACTCCCAGCACCTCAAGAGACTGCCAGGGCTTTTGGCTGCTCGTCGCATTGGCAGCCAAAACACAGGCCAGGAGATGAGGTTTCTCCTGGCCGGCTATAGGAAATTGAGATAAAAAACAACTTTCCTCCTTTTTCCTGTAGGTGGGTAATTCCCCACCCAAGGCCATTACTCCTGTGGAATGCATTAGGATTCATTTTCTTTGGCACAAAGGCTTGGCCCCAGTACAAATTGGAAGAGGGAACCTGGCCTCCAGAGGGAAGTATCAATGACAATATTATCCTACAATTGGACTTGTTTTGCAAATGTAAAGGGAAATGGGGAGAATTCCTCAAAGTTCATTGTTTTGGGGCCTTTAGGAAAAAATCAAGATATAGGTAAGCAATGTGATGTGGAGCCTAATTTAATGGTAACCCTTTCAAAAGTCGAGCGATCAGGAGGGGAAACAATTAAGGGCCCCTTAACACATCCAAAACAGACCTAAAGAAGGAAGAAGGGAAGTCTTCTACCTCCACCTCCTCTTCCTAGGGTCATCAATATAGATAGATAGATAGATAGATAGATAGATAGATAGATAGATAGATATAGATAGATATAGACAGATTGATAGATCGATAGATCTATATCTATAATATCTATAATACATATAATAGTATTATTATAGCATATATTTATATATACTATATAAATTTATATAGTACATATAATAGTAATAATAATCTATAATTGTATTATATCTATAATACAATTCTACTCCCTGCTGCCCACCTTATCCAGGCCCTCCCTATAATGTAACAGGCATGTTCCCCTTACAAGAAGCTAGAATGCCAGAAGAAAAAAAAAAAAAACAACCTTTACATTACAAGGTTTGAGACAGATAAAAGGAGATCTAGGTAAATTTTCTGATCAAATAAGTACATAAAGCCTTTCCAGAAGAGCTCTTAACTTACTAGCCAAGCAACAACCCAAAATGCGCAATGCCGTCTATCAAAACCACTTGGCCTTAGATTTACCTGGTTGCTTCTGAGAGAAAAGTTGTAAGAAGCTCAACATAAGCAACTGCTGCCTACAAATATAAAAGGAGAGTAAAAGATCATAGAAGAGATCACAAATCACAATAAAAAGGAT